ATATTATTTAAGTTTTTTAAGCTTTGCCAGATTATGAAATATATAATTGAACGCATTTCCCTTTCACCCATTTAAATTAATTGTCACGATCTTCCAGTTGAACTATTAATAGACAAACGTGCAATATTATTGTTGCCACCAAAAGCGGAAACTCTGCAGCAATTTTTTTTGATTGTTAAGTATTTTTTTCGCGCTACTAAAAAGTTTTATAATAATGATGAGGCCCAAAGATGGATAGCGAAAAGCTACCGGAAGCGTAATAAACATTGATTAAGTGTTTTATTGATTGAAATATTGATTCAAGTAACGACTGTGCTTTTGAATATTTACAAACATAAAAGGCCATAATCTGCTTTTGTAAATTTAAGCGCTGCAACACATTTATTACAAAAACTCAATACACTAAGAAAAAAAGTATTTTTTGCCTACATCAAAATTGTTTAACAGATCCGATTAAATTTGCAACGCCAATATAATGCCAAAATTACTTTAAACTTTGTCTTTGATATAAGAAATGTTGTAGTTTAATAAACAAATTTTTTAAGTTTTCTAAATATTTGCGTAATTATTTTACGTGTTCAAATGATTAATTTAAGCTCAAGACTGATTCAACTCTTATTACTCAAGGTCAACATTCTTTTCTGCCAGTGTAAATGTCTGCCAAAAACAGAAACGGCAAGCTATAAAATCTAAGGCAAACAGATGAACGCCCTCATGACACGCATTGACATTAAAAATGGTGCAATAAACCAAGCCAAGTCTTTGAGGAGCAAGCCAAACAAAAGAAAACAGCCAAACAATGGCCAACGAGCCGTTTAAAGACCAAAAGCCAAAGGGCATTAGGCGCGGCTCAGACAAAAAAAAATAGCCGCAGGCATTTAAGCCAAGGGGATTCAACGGTTAATTGCTGATAAAATATGCGCTCACCTGCAGTAAAAGCAGCAGCAGCAGTAGCAGTAGAAGCAGCGGCAGTAACAAAACAAACATATGTGTCTGGCGCTGTGCAATTGTCAAGGCAGCGGCAGACTTTCATGTGCCGTCCAACACCTCCTCCATTCCCGCCCCCTAACCAACATTCCCGCACGGATCATAATTTATAATTAACTAACTGCTCGTATTTTGTTGCCAGCTGTCGGCACACAAAGTAGCCAAGGGCTTAAAAGGCTAAAAAGGAAAACTCTCTCGCTTTTTTGCAGCCCAACGCGGCGTATGCGTAATATACCAAATACTATTTTCCTATGTCACTTCCGGTGCTCCTTCACAATTCACACACAACGCAAATGCAACAATAACTGTAAATTGAGCAGAGCTGATTTATCAGCTACCGATTGAAACATATATCCGGCTCAATGCAATCAATAAATAAAGATATACAAGTAAATTTAATTATAATAAATGGCTTTTGCCCCGTTGACAGATATCAGCTTGCAAGGAGTGCAGAAATTGTTGACTTGGTAAACACATTCTTAGAGCCAATTGATATAAACAATAATCAACTGTAGAAAAGAAAATACAAATCTGGTCTTCAAAAAACTTAAAATGCTGCACAGAAATCACTTTAATATCAACAAATATTCCTTCAAGTCTATAAAAGTTTAATGGTGTATGAAATTATAAACATTTATATTTCGAAAATTTACAAGGTACAATTCTTAAACATTTTTGTCATATTAATTAAATTCCGTTAATATGAACTATTTATAAAAACTTAATATTTGAATTTAGCAAACAAGTTTCACTCAAAAATAGGAACGCAAAACTAGTAAAAATGTCTATGACCCTAAGAACTATTACAGGTGCTCCTATACCCAGGACAACTATGATATTTATTAAGACCTAAATATGCTCCGTGTTAGTTGTGCTGTGAGCTATGCAAAAAGATTAAAAAATTATAAAAATAACTTGGCTCAGAATCTCTTAGACAATAAAGGGACAAACAGAGCTTAAATAGATTATATGGGCTGGATCTTTCCCACATGTCATAAATTTACCAAACTAAACTAACTAAAATATAATATAATCACACATTGTCTGAAACTTTTTTACATATCATAAATTAAGCCTAAATAAACAAACTAAATTAGAATATATATTGTTTGAACTCATTGCTAGCTTAATTTATTTTCCAAGCAATTTGATTATTGTCCTAAGACAGATTACAAATGAAAGCCGAGTAAAAAGAAAACTTTAACCTAGAGGAAAAACTCTTACAAAAATTTCTCTTCATTTTTAATGCAAAATAAATTAAATTAGCACATTTATTATATTTCACCATATTCTATAATACATAATTAAAAAAAAACACATTTTTCTCTTTTTATGGGCTTTGGTTGAAGATCGGCTTGCGGTCTATAACTTAACGATTTACTATAAAAAGTAGCCAAACTTGTTTATTTAATTATTATCTGATTTATTAAAATTAAATGTATTTATGAGACTAAGCTGCACAATCACAATTTATTTGCAGTTAAATAAAAAAAAAATATGAAAGGCAGCAAATGAATTTTGACAACTAACCCACTTATTAAGTGGTTCAGTGACAAGGGTTGACCACAAAAATGTCTAATCTAGGTGCTCCCCAGGGTCGAGCCTAGTTTATTACTCGCTGCATTAAAATAGGAGACCGACACGTGTTAACGGCTGACAGCTAAGAACTGACAGCTGCCAAGTGAAACCGCACGAGAAGTGAAATATCGAAATAATATCTGAAATACTTTGGCATTGTTGTACAGTGAAGCCTTGATAGGCGGCAGCGGAACTAGAAAGTTCACAATGTACTTATTGAAAAGTTTTTCCGTGATTGCAAACATTGTGCAAAAGTTATGAAAACTAGGCAAATGCCAACAATGGTCGAGTTGAAAGAAAATGTTAAAAGGAACTAGCCAAGTGCAGGGCAAAGCTTAACAGGGCTCATTAAAGTGTCACTTATAAAATGCAGGCGCTAACAGAAAAAAGAAGTGGTAAAATTAGTTGAAATGTTGCAGTCGGGTGTCACCGACTGCGCAATAATCTGTTGACAGTGTACAAGAAGCTGATTCGATTGATTTCAGAGCCTTCTTGATAAATGGGTTAATGTTGTCTTCTAAAGTGAATGTGATCAATAAAAATTTAGTTGTCAGACCAACAATCGGCAAGACGAACATTAAACAGAACTTATATACTCTTCAACAATGTGAGAACAGAGTAACAAAAGTAACACAGAATGTGCAAAAATATGGCAACAGGAGCAACAGCTCGTTTAGCACTTGAATAATGACAGTGACATGGTAGGTGGATGTGCTATATGGTATATAGAGGCTGTACTTACCGCCCCACAATACTGACACACAGTCTGGCTTGTCGAGTTGTTGAGCTCCCAGGTGACAAAATTAGCATTTAACGGCAAAACACAAGTACGGCTAACTCACTCGACATTTAGTTATGTGCACAATTTTTTACTTATGCAGCAATTGCTTAAAAGACGCACACACACACACATATGCGCAAATTGTTGTTACAACACGCATACGACTCGTTGGCCGCCTCGCACCTTTGGCAATTGCAGAAAGCGTCTTGATAAACAGTCAATTAATTGCGGCGTTTATTGTGCGCATTGTTCGCGTGCTGGGCACACTCAAATTGGCATTTAAAGTAAACAAATCGCCTGAATTGCGCGAATTATGCGTTTATTGCGCCCAAATAGTTTAATATCAAATGGAGCAAAGCACGAGAAATACCCGCTTAACGGTCAGCGGCCAATTAGAACTGAAGGCGTTTCGAAATGACGCCAAAGCCTCAGGCAACAACAACGGCAATTCGAGTAGAACCAGCAGCAGCCGCAGCAGCCGCTAAAACGTTGCGTCGCGCCCGAACACAAAAACCGAACTGAATGCGGCAATCCGTGACTGGCGGAAGCACCCGCAATGACGGAATGGAGATCAGCCGGCAGCAAAGTTCTAGGCGACACGAAGTAGGGACACGAAGTCGACACACGAAGTCGGGCGTTCAGCCTTCGGCTGCATTTGTTGCACACTCTGCGCAATTGCTAGGATTTTGGCGCCAAAAGCAATCAACTAAGCAACATGTTGCTGAGCACATTCTGCTAAGGCACATCGCATGTTGCTAGTCCTTCAAAAGTTTTATTCAAAAATGTGGCGTTTTTGCCAATTCTGGGACAGTTTCTTGCTGTTTGTTTTAAACTAATTGCTCAGCAATGTTTGTTAGTATAATTATTTAGCCAGTTTTCTTGACTGAAGCGTCAGCACCTGAAGACCCTTGCAATATGTAGCTGGCAGCATGTTGCCAGTCAATTTTCAATTTCAGCCGCGAGGTGTGTTTTAAACGTAAATCAAAGTTTTTGAGCTCAGCTGGATAATGAGTCTATTAGTCATAACATAGTGGCAGTTGCGCTGTAAATATTTACCAACATTTTTTTAAAAGTTAACTACAGAATAGACAAATCATAGGGCTAAATATTTGCAGTTCCACTTTAGAAACGTTCACATAGTGGAAGCCCACACTTTCGCAAGGTTCTACAAATTTCTAGAAGAAAAATGAGAAAATATATTTACTCAGATATTGCTGACTGAATGGGAAATAATTTTTGCAGACAGACATTGCACAGAACCTATATACCCTTCTTATTTAATGACAGTGTACATGAAAAAGTCAATTGGAAGCTGTACGTACTTAAAAGAAGTTTCTATTAGACAACCCACCATTTTTGACATAACTATTTAAATTGTTAATAATTTTTGGCTTTATTGTGGCACGCACAATTTTTTTGCATTTCGAAATAAAAATGCCTACGCGGAAAATCGTGAAGCAGGTTCAAAATTAACAAAACGTAACCAATTAAAAAAAAAAAAGAAACAGAGCTCATAACGACGCGACTTCAAGGCCTGAAGGTCAAGTTTTAAGCGTATGACAGGGCCAATTGTCGTTAACTTTCAATAACGTGTTAATAAACGGCTTAAATAAACTCGCTTTTTATGCAATTGCAAAAAGGGAAACGCAAAAAATGTTTAGTAAATTCGAATTTTATTGACTACAAACAGTTTAACAAACAATTTAACAAATTTTATGGAAAAGCAACACGCGGCGATATGTGCATGGGTACGGAGCAGTGTGTGAGTGTGTGTGCGCTTGTGGGCGTGGCACGCCATTTAGACTAACTACAAGATTCACTATGGGATTCACTATGGGATTCACTTGAGCTTCTTCAGGAAGTAGCGACTTGGTGGACCGTAGTTGGAGGCGGGCACATGGCCGGACGTCGGTGCTGGCCCCTCTATGGCCTGGCGCTGCTCGGCGGGCTCCTCGACAACGATGGGCGCCATGGAGGGATCCTCAATGTTGCTGAGAGCAGCGGATGCCGTTGCAGGCGGCAGATATTGATGGGCGGGTGCGGTCAGCGTTGTTTGCACCTCCTCGCCCGTGTAGGCGGGTGCGGTGGGCGGGCCGTAGTTGGATGAAGGCTGCTCGGGCTGCTCCGACTCAGGTGCGCTGGTTGTGGGCAGCACATCGGCCACATCGGCCATGGGTGCAAAGTCCTCGGCGGTGGACTGGCGCGGTTCCATATCGGCAGGCGGTGGTCCATAGACGGGCGCCTCCTCCTTCTTGGTCTTGTACTTGATGAAGTAGACCTCGGGCTTGGATGGTTTGGTCGGTGGCGGTGAAGGTATGACAATATCCTGTTCCTGATCGGGCTTCTTGTGCAGCACATAGATCAGAGTCTTCTCCTCGTTCTGTGGTGGCGGTGGCACAACTGGTGCACGCAACGCTGGTGCCGATGGCGCCTTAATGAACACAATCTTGTAGTGCTTCTGTTTGGGTCCCAGCTCATGATGCACACGTGGCTGCACCGCATCCTCTTCCTCAAAATCCTTGGGCGGCACATGCACATAGATGTGCTTGTGGACGCGCGTCTCCTGTGGTGCATTGTTATAGCCGCTGGCATGTTGCACGCCCGACAAGCGATGCGCCATGTTGTAGGAGTCATCATAGGCGCTCAGTTGCTCAGCGGCGGGTGCCAGCTGCTCTTCCAGCTGCGGCTGCAGGTGCTGCTGCTGCTGCTGCTGCTGAACGGGTGGCAGGTAGTTCATTTGTGGCTGAGCAGGCTGTGCGGCAAAGTTAGCGAACGATTGCTCCTGGGGCAACGCCTGGTAGATGTGTGACGGCGCATTATGCACTGCAAGATCCGTGATAAAAAGAGAAAGAGTTGGAGAAGGCAGAGCTAGGATGCGGGCTCAGCGGCTGGGTAGTGTCACGGACACACTCACCATTCAATGGCAGCGCACGCTGACTCTGCTGCTGTGGTAATCCATAGTAGGGCGATGGCGGCTCAGGACGGGCCTGGACAGCGCCGAGCAGGGCGACGCAGCCAACAAGGAGCGAGAAGGCACGCATGGCAACGGCAATGACAATGGCAAACGCTTGAGTCTTTGGGTCTCTTTTACACTTAGCTTAGATCACGTAATCCTTGACTTGTCAGCGGGGCAACTGCTTCTGCTGATGTTGTGGTTCGATTGGAAAGCACAAATCTCGACTGATGCCCCAGTGAACTGAGCGTCGAGCATTTATATGATTCGATTGGGAGAGAGAAGCGAAGCAGTCAGCAAAAGCAAAGACAGCAACACGCTGAGCAGCAACTGGCCAAAATCTCATTACAAAAGGCCGCGGCAAAAATGAATTTAATTAAACATCAAAAGACGCTAACACACACGCGTACACGCACACACTCACACTCACACGCGAGCTCAGCTACAACAAAAAGAGTTCGACGCTGGACAGGAGCTAAGCTGAAGCTCTGTCAATGGCAGCCCGCTTGTCTTTTGATGTCTCCAAGCGAGAAATTGAACCAAGTTGCTAACTAAATGCACAACAAAAACTGGAAAAATACATTTATTTACCGCTAATCGAGTGTGTGTGCGTGTGTGTATGGGTCAAGCGAGTGTGTTCCCAGGGTGGCCACTTGAATGTTGCCCAGGGTCTGTCAGCCTGGCAACGACACCAGCTCATGCTTCCTTGGGCTCACACTCTGATCTTAAGGCCATCAAAAAACGTGCCACTTTTTACTACATACACTCAGCGAAAATTAAATCAAATGTGTTGTGCTTGAAAGAGACACAAAATGTGTTAAAGCTTAAAACATCTTATGCTGAAAACGAATAAAAAAAGCATTTTATTCTGAAACTACTAAAAACAAGACTGAAAGACAACGCATCCCAACACTACTGAAATAAAAAAGAAAATATTTGAAATAATTATACATTAAAAAAATTTATGGTATTTAGTACTTTCACTAGAAAAGAAATTATTGATTCAAAAATTGTTAACTCATGAATATAAGAAATACTTAAAAATGATAAATACTTAAAAATTATAATATAATATAATATTTGGGTATAATAAATAATGTGTAGTAATATAAATTCTAGATTCGTGAATTTATTAAATTTAACTCAAAACCCTAAATAAAACAATTTTATGCAGACAACTTAAGAAGCTGCAAGCTTTCAGAACGAACTTCTTGCTCTGATAAGTTCATATAAATTCCAAACACTTAATTTCATTAATAATAAATAAATACTATAAGTAAAGTCACAGCCTTAAACTTAACATCTTGTATTTATATATATTTATAGGACATTTTTCACGCTTCATTTAAAAATTTAGTTTTTTCTCTCAGTGAATCTATCAAAAGTTTCTTACGGATGCGCCGAGAGACAGACACACACACACTCTTACACACAACAACAACCTTCGCCTGAGTGTGCCAAGTGTTATTTTCACAATTGGAGCACTCTCAAAAATGTTGTCTTGAAAACGAAAGTGACCCACGATTACACACTTGGACTGTGTACAACATGCCACCGGGCCCCTCTGCCCCTTCTCACATGGACAACATGCCCTTCCATTGATGAATCTTCATTCATGACCCGTTGTGGTTTGCCGCCGTTTAGCGGGGATTTACTTTAACTGTTAATCAGCCAAACACTAAGCAAATATTTGTGCCAACAGAAAAGTGAGTCTAGTTTAATCTGAGCTGGAAATGGCTGCCTAGACAAGGCCGTTGCGCATACGCCAAGTAGGCCCGGCGCAGCGTTAAAACTGTCAACTGACAACACTTTCAACACCTACAACAATAATTTTAAACAATTACGAAACAATCAAAACAAAACCAAATCAAAGTTTTATAATTGCGGCCAAATTATTTCAAACAAGAGGGCTCTTTTCACGAGAGTTTTCGACTTGGAGATACCCTGTGCGCAGCTTTATAGCCGCCACAAGGCCACACATATGCACACACACATTCGCACGAGTCTGTTTCAGCCAAAATTTGTTGCCTCTTGGTCTCAAAATATGCGAACTATGCCAAAAAGCCGGAGCTGGCCATCGATTTAGAAGAAATCGAGAGTGTTCTCGTAGGTCTTAGTTCTTTAAGATTAACGGTCTCATACAAATTGCAAGATAGGTTTAAGAGAAGCAGAGCTGGCCATCGATATCTATCATAAAAAACTTTTTCCCTTATATTTTTCGAGAATGTTTTCGTAGGATCAATAATGCCGCCAGAAAATAAATGGGTTCTGTCTGTAGATGGAGAGAACAGAGATGCAGACATGACTAGATGGACTCGTCTGTTAATACCAATTAGGAATAACTAAATCTTCCTATGCCAGTAGCATATATCAGCTTATTACTTAGTATAACTATTTTATAGGGTATAAAAAGAAAACAAAGCTACCAAAACAAATAGATTTGATAGAGACAAAAACTGAGAAAGAGAGGCAGCGTAGCTTATAAACGAATTTAAACACTTGTCATCCACGCTGGCCACAAATTATTTAACATAATTGCAGCTCGTCTCTCGATGGGATGACCAGAGAAATTTTGAATCCATAAAATAAATATATGTGTGTACATACGTATCGTATTTAGCTGGGGCGACAGGCAACAGGTCTGCTGCTGCTTTACGTCATCGACATCAACAACGCACCATTGAAATTGGTGCACTTGGACACACTGAGGAAGCGAAGTGCCCAAAGCGACATGGAGCAGAGGGCGCACAAAGATTGCCACAAATGTAACAACAGCTGCAACACGAGGCGTCGCGTCGATTGCGACATAGCTGAGTGGGGAAGGGGGCAAGGTGGACAGGTGGGGCAGGGCGAGAGTGTCTTTAAAATCAGGTCACTTGTGCAGTAGCCACCGCCAAGTGGCAGCCAGTGCGGCGACTTAAGCGTCTCGCTGTCGGTCTTCGACTTGGTCTCCACATTGGCATTGGCTCTGCTTAACTCCGACTTATTGGCATTTGTGTTTGCCCTTCGTTCGATTTCGGGGTATGAGTTGAATGTTGCCAGCCCATTCGGTTTTGTTTTTTTTCTCGGGTATTTCCACAATATCTAGCAGCTTTAAAATAGACTGAAACTCTGAAGAATGCACTTGAGACCCGGCGTTGTTGCCACTTGTTGCACTCAAGTGCCAACTGGCCTTTCAACCAATTTTTGGTTTATCATTGCCACAGCGCATTCATGCTTTGTGCTAGTTTGCGAGGGAGCCAAGCGACGCTTTGGAGGCCCCGTCATTGAGATGCGACCCTACAAATCGATTAGTTGGTCAATGCCTCCAAGCCAGCTCGTTCAAAGATGCCGATCTCAACTCTTTTCAAATGGGACAGTCTTCAGTTTAACTGATTATTCTTATCATCAACAATTAACCCTCTGTTTCCAAATATTCAAATAAATGTATTTAACGCTTATATTAATTGCCTTAAATTTATTTTCCCTTCAATAAATTCCTAGATGTTATTTATTTAACTTTATAAACCTCAAATATTTTACGGAAGCTATTTTAATGAATTTATTCAATTTGTTTATTTTTGCTGTCTATTGTCAACAATAAACTGTATGCAAATCCCAGAAATTGTTTATAAAATTTAATTTGTATTTATTTTATTTGAATATCATGTTTATACACTTTACTTTAAAGCATTTTATGAAGTTCCCAATTTTTGTATTTAAGATTTTTATTTTATTTTATTAATTTAACTCTTTCGCTTAGCTCCAAATAAAATATAATGGAAATCATGGCAAAGTGTGTTACACATTTAAATGCTTCAACCTACATTAAACAAATTATCACAATTTTTAAATGAGTGTCATGAACGCCCCCGGCCGCCCCGCTGGTACCACCGCCGCCGCCGCATCACTCAACTGGAGGAGGTAGACTAAGCCGGGCCGGCAACTTGAGCCGGCGCGTCGTCAGTGCAAAGCAAGCCAAAATATTTGTTGACAAACCGTTCGAACAAATTACTTAATGGCTTAGCCAGTTAATGACCATAATGATGACAAACGTGATAATGATGAACAGGTAGCTGCTCGATGGGATGCTGCCTCGATGCCTCGATGTCTCGATGCCTCGATGCCACGTGGATGCGCCGCACTGTGTGCGTAGACAACTTAAAATTTATTGCATTTTAAAAGCCAAGCTTTAAGCAACTGCACTAAGGCAGCTTAAAGCGCAATTAATTTATTTGTGACCAATTAATTACTTATATTTTGCTAATATATATAAATAACATTTTATTTGATATAATTAATTAAAACTAACCGAGCAAGCGGTTGGTTGGCGCCTGCAATCAAATATATGTATATATAACAAATATTTTATTTTATATTGAAAATTTGTTCAGAATATTCTTGAATGTATTCAATTTATTTTCAAAAGCTTGCATTTATCTTAATATTTTTTAGGTAACCCACATTAGTTATCTTCATTGCTGTTTTCCAATGACCTTCAATCAGTGTGCAGCGTCTCCAACGATTATCTTGTTAATTAACGCTCAACAGCAACTGGCTTGATTTTTGTTTTTGTTTTTATTGCCGTCTCTTCATGTGAAACACTTGGCGTGCTTTCGCGCCAAGGCGAATGGGGCACAGTGGGCGGCTGGGCTGACCAAACGACTGGCGAGCGCTGCACAAGGTCATCCAATTTGCCGCTAAACGAGCACAATTATCGAGCAGCTTATATAACGTATACGACCCGTAGGAAGTCATTTAAATTCGAGTTACACGCGCACTTCTTCTTCTACATGTTAATTTTACTTTGCTGCGCCCACCGGCTCCAGCGCTGCCTGGCAATGGCAATGGGTGGGTGGGTGTGCGGCTGATGTCATGTGGAGTATCCATGGCTTTTCAATTACAATGAATAATGAATGTTAATGGCGCCGACTAACGGGCCTTAGCCCTAAGCTTAGTCAAAAGTGCTAATGGAACTCAAAGTAAACTCTATTTATAAGCCTGCATTTCCAGAGAAAGTTCTTAAAGTGGTCAAAACTAAGTAAATGGGTGGTTGGGCGTTTGACAATTGTCAAGACTCTAGCATACACTTAAAAAAAAAGGCAGTCAAATCGATCACAAGACATAAAAAAGGTTTTAATTTAAGATACATAAAATTATACTAATAATAAAAAAAAATTATAAAAAATTTATAAAGATCAAAGAAGATTCAGGACGATTTAATACCCTTGTAGACATTTCCCTTTTGCCTTTTGCTTGAGTAGGGAGCAGAGGTAAACATATAAAAGTTTTTCATACAACAAACTGCCTATGGACCGTTTGCTTTTGCAGCAGCTATACATGGTCCGATTTGTGTCGGTTCCTTCTTGTGTTGAGTAAGGCGACACAGTCACATTTGTAAGTGTACTTAGGGCCGAGATCAATAAACTTTAACGGCCCAAAATGACGCATATCTAAGCTAAAAATGCCAGTAAAAAGGTGAAAGTTCAAGAAGCGTTCTTTAAATAATTACAATAATTAAGTGGGCAGTACAAACAAACAAACAAAGGCCAATCGAAATGCTGTAGCGTAATTAAGGAAAGAGAAAACATTGACATTGAATTATAATGCCGCGTGTAGTACACAATAATAACAATTAATAATTGTTTTTTTAATGCAATGAGTGCGTATAAAAGAAGTGAAATATTAATAAAGATCAGCAAACACGCACATAATGTGCTTTTATTAACGGGCTGCTGACCATTAAAACAAACACCTCCAAGCACAGGTGGGCGGCGGGCATAAAATTCAACCAAACAACAAATCAATGAATGCAACAAAGGCAAATTGTGGACTATCTGGACGTGGGGCGTGGCACATTGTCGCCTCTGCCAGAGACTTTAATGTCAAAAGGCAAACGCGCACTTACAAATCGGTTAGTTTCACAGACGTATCTCATGGATGCCCAATGCCAGTGCATGTATCTGCAGTTTGCTGTGCCCGTGTGCGTGTGTGCGTATGTGCGTGTGTGTGTGTGTGTGTGTATGTGTCTGTGTCATGTTTCATTGAATACAATGCCCAGTTAAACACTGCTGCCGTAATTTGTATCTCGCACTTTGTTTATTTACGCTGTCATCTGCTATTGTTTGGCGCTAAGAGTGCACCCCTCCCCAGGCCGCTTGCTATTTCCCCTTAGCCTTTTTCTGTTTTGGCCAGCACACACACACATGAACACATTTACAAAGCAGCATTTTGTTAGCCATTTGCAGTCAGTCACATTTTGTGGGGCCCCGCAACAACAACAACAACAATAACAACAACAAATTCGCTTGTCAGCGCGCCCCTGGTTCAGTTTTGTTTTTGGGCACTTTAGCTTTTTGATTTTGTTGCTGTGGGGCACTTGGGGCTGCTTTGAGTCTCGACCATCATTTTTGTTTACCATGGCGCGTTTTCTGCGGCCTAACTGGCAATTAAACATGTATTTGCTGGCATTTTGCCATTGTGGCGCACACTTAAACGCAAGCCACGCCCCCTTTTTGCTGAGGGACTTATCACAATGTCAGTGCATCACAAGCGCATAGTCGAGCGGACGTTGAGCTGGCTATAGGGGAGTAATTTATATGGGCATTAGATGCATTTATCTTCAATTAAAAACTGGTGCACTTGTCGTATACGTGATGCTGTCGACAGGATAAGCTACGATGTACTAAGCTGTAGTCAATTAAATAATGTGTTTATGTGAAATGCAATAGTTGTGCTCCCTTCATTTTCTCCTATCACTTTCAGCTGATATGTCTGTCAAGGGTCAATAGTTTGTATATTTCCCTGTCAAATGTGCATATGCATTTCTCAACTAACATCGACTTTTCCTTTTGATTGTACTTGTAAGTTTATCTGCCTGTCAAAAATTAGCAGTATATTTATTTAGTGATTAGGCATGTCTTTGCACAAACTTGTACAATTGGCCACTTTGAGCTGCATTTTTTTTATCTTGCTAACGGAGAAGTCCGCTAAAGATGAATGTTGAAGAAGTATCCAATATATGTTTTTATCATTTATCATCATCTCATTGGGTTTTCAATTAATATCTTAAATATTTTTGAGAATTATTAAGGTACATATCCTATTGCTTCACGTCTTGAGACAAATTCAGTTTTTCGCTAATAAACTATCTGCTGAAAAGCTTGATTTTTTAATTTACACACAATTTGAAGGTTGAGTCAGGTTCATGTAAACGAACTGTACAGTTCGCACAGCGGCGCCATCTGTGTGTCGCGCTTGTGCGCTTATCAAAAACTCACAGCTGTGCTGCTTCGTCTTCGCCTTCCGCTCTTACTAACTACCTTGAACAAGTTCAACGCAAAAGCTTCGCGGCCGAACCTCAAGAAGCCACAGAAAATAAACAAGAAAGAGGCAGAGCGTAAAGATTGTAAAAATAATACACAGTAATACACAAATGCGAGCAGTTATCAACTGCAGTTCCGCACGAGAAGATCCACACGACGGTGCGCCTGATAAATCCAAAGAAACAACTTTCGCTCTGGACTTTTGCTAGGAAAAACTCCAAAGAAACATGGAAGTATTAGATGACGACGACAACTACAGCGAACAGGTGGGGTAAACTGTAGCTTATCTCGCCACATTCTCAAATATAAATTCTGTGCATACTCTGTTCACAAAGTGCAAAGGGGTATATTGCATTTGAGCAATGTTCAGCCAGCCGTCCGCTTGAAACATGAACATTTTTGAGGGAAGCTGTAAAAATGTATATCCTCTCCAGTTTTTTAAGCTAAAGTCCGTTTGTGCACTTCTCACGACCTCTTCTATAAGTCAAGCCAAAAAAAATGCGGTCACGCCCAAGTCTGCTTTCGACTGTTAAAAAAACAGTTATTGGAACATGGACAGAGTATTGCTCAGTTGATTAGACCCGCCTTCAACAGTTTTTATTGCTCCCTTTCGCCCAGCTCATTCTGGTGCAACAGAATCTGCGCTCGATGCCCATTGAAATTGTGCAGCGCTATGCCGAGAGCACCGAGCATTTGGATTTGAGTCACAATTGCCTCAAGGATCTGTCCTGGCTGTCGGAATTTGAGCAGCTGCGTTATCTGGTTCTGGACAGCAATCGGCTGCACGAGTCGCAGTTGCGCACGTTGCAAGTGCCACTGCCACAGCTGGAAGTGCTCATGCTGAACAAGAACGAGGTGAGGCAAGCTAATGTGCCCCGGTTATCAATTATTATATAGGGTATATCAATTTACAGTTCAGCGATCTGGCGGCAACGATTCGACTTATCAGGCGGCTCTTTCCCAACCTGCAGTACCTCAGCCTACATGGCAATCCCATTTGCCCCGACGGCCTGCATTTGCAGCCTTTCTCCAGCTACTTGGATTACGATTATACATACTACAGGTGGGCATATTTAACAGCTCCTAAGCTAATAATATATATACATATATATTGAATACTTTATTTTTTAGCAATTTCATAGCTCAGTCGCTGGGAAAGCTAAAATTTCTGGATCACGCCCCGGTTAAACGTTCCTTTAACTATGAGAGTTTTCCTATCAAGGGCCATGATAGGTCTGAAAATACACTTGTAAACACGACAAAACTTTGAAGAAAAACACATGTTCTTACCAAATTGATAAAAATCTCAATATTATAAATCATATACGTACCTGTATTTGTGTAGAAAAAGCTCTTAGCCATGACAGGCACCCATTATTATTGATAAAAGCTCAAGGTGAAGAGCTTTTATCAACAGCCGAAAAGGCGCATAAGACATAATGCACAACAATTATCATAGCACGACTAAGGAATACTTCGCAATGTCCTACAACTATTCTTAAAGGCTGACAAAATGTAGGATATCTTTTCTACATCAAGGACTTAAACGATGCAAAAATATTAAATAACTTAAAAGTCAGTATAAAATAATATAATAGGTTTTTGGTAATATATTTTTGATAATAAATGTATAGCAAGTACTAATATTAATAAAAAGATGAAGTACACTTCTAATAACAACTTGGGTTACGCAAAAACAAACGACATAAGAAAAAGTTTTGATTAGAAAAAAAAAAATATATTCACCAAATTTAATGGGTATTATTGAACTAACACAAGTATAAAGCATAAAATAATTGAAACACAATATAAAGTGGTAAAAATAAATTCTAGATAAAAGAGAGATTAAATTTGAAAGATAATAATTTAAAAAAATACCTGCACGAGAAATCAAAGATAATGATATATTAAATATGTGATAAGGTGCCGTAATACAAGAGGTAGGAACAAAAAGCACAAGTAGGAACAAAAAGCCAGCCTTAAACTTTGCAGGGTATATAAACATGCATAACAGTAGGAATACACACACACACACACACTCACGTTTCTGTTAGCCTGCGTCGCCGGCCGGCATATGTTTTGCGGAGCGAAAGACAGCACAAAAGGGAGACAGCGTTAAAAGCACGCGCAAAGGCAAATCAAATAAACGAACGCATATCAAAGGCAACCATAAAACGAATCTAGAATCCAATTGCAGCTTCAGTTAAGTGCGAACATTCAAGCAGTCAAGTTGTCAGTCGCTCAATTGCAGCTCTTCAATATGGCCAATCCCAACGCGCAGCCCAAGTACACAAAAGTAAGTAAACAAGATGTTGTTCTAATATTCAGAAGTATTTGATACTGACGCCTGCTGCTTAACGAGTGAAGAATTTCAGTTACCTGACTACAGGTGACTACTTGGTTAGGCTAAAAGCTTAAAGCCTTGAACTGCATATAAGAAATTCATGTTTTTTCTTATCGCAAATTTTAATTGTAGCACAATTTATACAACTCGAATGGTTACACGATTTTTTTGTGTTTGATGTCAGTTTAAAAAACTTGTTTTTGCCAAGAATTTACTCGCTTTCCCTTAATATATATGCATGTATGTATATCTTGCATACATATACACCTTTATAACTGTGTGTGCGTGTGAGACCGCAATATGTTTAAGGTGTTATTGTATATTTTATATAATTAATTGTGGATCCATCTGGCCTATTATTAGCTTACACTCGCTATCACACCCTTTAAGCACTATCAGGTGGGCTCTTTGTACTTATAAAAAACATTTCAGTCTAATGCATATATGTATGTACATGTCCGATTTGTATAGCTGACACGCCTGCAATATCAATTGAAAATATAATTATAAGCTTACATTGGTTTCCTATAAAGGTATTAATGTTCTTATGTATTTAGGCTAAATCACAGCTATAAAGGAATTAATGGTCTTATGTATTTAGGCCATATCTCAGCTATAAAGTTTTATTATTATTGTTTTATTGGCATATGTTATAAAAAGAGTTATCCACAAACTAAATAAAACAAATATTTCTAATCGTCGTAGATATTCGCAAATTCTATTTTACTTTCACGCATTTCCAGCTTATCTAGCGAAATGGAATTATTATTTTGTGACTGTTTAAGAAAGCAGCTCAAAACTTAAAAATATATATAAGCCGCATAATCAGGAATTTATTTAATAAATATACATCACATAACTTATGTCTGGTAATATTATACGCTACGATGCGTAAACTTTTTTATTTTTAAAGTAACCAAAGTGCTTACGAATTAATTGCAATAAGAAGCTTAGTTTTATAAATAAACATAAAACACCCTCTTAAAACATTTCTCAACAAATACTTTACAACAATCTACTCTGGGCAAAAGCAAAGTATTTCTATTCTTGAATGATGAACTCTTGAACTTTTTACAGGGTATTATCCCATCAAAATGCTTACTCTTGTTTACATTACCATAATTTGATAATCGCTGGTGGTGCTCTGATAATGGCCATTTCTGATAAGGGACGAACACAATATTAGATTAGTTGCGCTCGACTGTGGACTTTAATTGTCATATTTAGAGCACAGCACGAGTTGGCAGCTTATAGTTGGAATTCCTCTTGAATGCTTCTGTTATTCCATCATTTTATTCGGTTGCAATCTTGACATTCCCACATGCATAAACTCCAAATTAGCTAATTACTCTAAATAGCGTCAATTTCATATTCGTTTATTTTTTTCCCCCACAATCAGAACTCGGAATTTCATTGACAATGTCATTATTTGTTGAGAGTTTAATAAAGTCTAGTTAGATAGTTTTGTTTACATTGAGCGTAACTGTCGCGTGTTTGGAGACTGGCAACTGACAACTTGTTAAGTCCAAGTCAAGCGGCTGTTCGTTAGGCACAGGGCAAAGGTCGTCCATGAAGTGGCGCCAATTAGTGGCACGCCAGGTGCTGCAGCTGCAAATGCATTGCAGCAGCTCGAGCTATGAGCATTGCCCACCCGCGTATAGTCAGGTGAGGCGCACAGTTTGACAGGCACTGACACGTATATTACGTATAATAATTGCCGTATAATCTTTATTTGATTGCAGCTGTTTATCAACAATGAATTCGTTGATGCCGTTTCGGGCAAAACCTTTGCCACCCACAATCCGGCAACGGGCAAGGAGATCAGCCAGGTGGCCGAGGGCAATAAGGTGAGCATGAGCTCGCACTGATAACGTTTGCGGCAGGCGCTAATCTTATTCGCTATCTTTCAATCCAATCCCACCTAGGCTGATGTTGACCGCGCTGTGGCTGCTGCCAAGAAGGCCTTCCATCGCGGCTCCGCCTGGCGTCAAATGAGTCCGCTGCAGCGCACCAATCTGATGAACAAGTGGGTGGCCTTGACCCTTGATCCTTGCATAGTCATATAACAACTGCTCCTTTCCCCATTCCGTTGCAGACTCTGTGACCTGATGGAGCGCGACAAACAGTTTTTGGCCAGCATTGAGACCCAGGACAACGGCAAACCCTTTGCGGAGGCACTCTTCGATGTGACCATCTCGATTATGACGCTGCAGTATTATGCTGGCTGGACGGACAAGTTCTTCGGGGATACCATACCCGCCGGTGGTTTCGTTGCGATGACACGCAAGGAGCCAGTTGGCGTTGTCGGTCAGATAATACCCTGGAATTATCCACTGTTGATGTTGGCCTGGAAGTGGGGTCCCGCACTGGCCGTTGGCTGCACCATTGTCATGAAGCCCGCCGAGCAGACGCCACTCACAGCCTTGCACATGGCCGCACTGGCCAAGGAGGCGGGCTTTCCGGCGGGCGTCATCAATGTGATAAATGGCTTTGGACCCACCGCTGGCGCTGCAATCAGTGAGCACCCAGACATTGCTAAGGTGGCGTTTACCGGCTCCGTGGACATTGGACGCATTGTTATGCAGGCGGCAGCCACATCGAATCTGAAGCGCGTCTCCCTGGAGCTGGGCGGCAAGAGTCCCGTCGTCGTTTTTGAGGATGCGGACAGTAAGTGGCATAGGATCCGAGACATTAGCGTTGAGTAAACCCATTTCATGTGTTTGCCCTGCAGTTGACTATGCTGTGGAGACCGCCCATGAAGCACTCTTCTCCAATCACGGCCAGAGCTGCTGCGCCGGCAGTCGCACCTATGTGCACGAGAAGATCTACGACAAGTTTGTCGAGAAGGCGGCCGCCAAGGCCAAGGCACGCACAGTGGGCAATCCCTTCGAGGAGAGCACTCTGCAGGGCCCCCAAATCGATGAGGAGATGATGACCAAGGTATTGGGCTACATTGAGAGCGGCAAGCAGCAGGGCGCCAAGCTGCAGGCGGGCGGCAAGCGTATTGGCAATGTGGGCTACTTCATCGAACCGACCGTCTTCTCCGACGTCAAGGATGACATGCGCATTGCCCAGGAGGAGGTATAACCAGCACATTGATTAACCTAAGCAAGTGTACTCATGTCCTGCTCTTTCAGATCTTTGGACCCGTTCAGTCCATCTTCAAGTTCAGCTCCATCGAGGAGATGATTGAGCGTGCCAACAATGTGCAGTACGGCCTCGCCGCCGGCGTCATCACCAACGACATCAACAAGGCCATGAAGTTCGCCAATAGCGTCGATGCCGGCTCCGTTTGGATCAATTGCTATGATGCCGTCCTCCCGCAGACACCCTTCGGTGGCTACAAGCACTCCGGCATTGGTCGCGAACTGGGCAAAGATGGTCTGGACAACTATCTGGAGACCAAGACAATTACCATGAAGCTGCTGTAAGGTGGAGAGCATCTGGTCCTTTATGATTTTTGTTTGTATATGGAATATTTGTATTTTATTTGCACCTTCTGGCTTTATGGTTAGACTATTGCATTTCAATTAAAACTATTTGTTGGAAACTAAAATCGATTATATTATAAATTAAAACGAGGCACGAGTTTACTTAACTTAAGCTTAGATAATATCATTCAATTGTTCGAAACCTTTTTTTTTTGTTGTGTTGGAAGTTTAGCAGACTTCAAGTTGGAACTTGAAATTGCCTTTACCCTTGCAGAGAATGCTATTATGCTCACGGGCAGACTTAAAACTGATATATCTATACATTTATCGGAACATCATATAACTATATCATATAGCAGCGAATCGCCTAATAAGGGAAAAGTTTTTTCTGTTTCAAGATATCTTGACCAAACTGGAACTTACTGTGCCTAAAGTCTTATCCACATCAGACACCTATATCATATAGCTCTATAAGGGCTCCAAACAAGCTTAATTATTGACCGATAAATATTACCTTTACCAGGTACGTGTATTATTAAGTAAATTACGCTCTAGGGAAAAAATCTTAAAATCCACCTGCTTTAGCAAGGACTTCTGAAAAGTTGGGTATGTCAACATTTTTGAGTTTCAATATTAGATTCCGAATTGAGCGCAACATTTTTTTAAATCGGACTACAGAATTAATAAGCTTCCTTGGGAAGCCCTCTGCAAGGGTACTTAATATTCGGCAAGCCGAATGTAACTTCTCTTGTTCGCTTGTTTCGTTTTGTTCTAGTATTTGTTCTTAATCCCTGCTTTGTTCTCCAAAACAATCGTATATAAAAATAAACCTGAGATTTCTGATGTGCTTCAGTTTGTGACAAAGTCAAGCCTTAGGCGACAGTTGTTAAGTGTGTTTGTTGCCGTTGTTGTTGCTGTTGTTCCTGGGCTTTCAGCTCGAGCAGCGGCATGGCCACATCGCTAAGCCGTGACTTGGCGCTCTGATAATCATCCTCCGACCTGGGTCTCAACTGCTGCTGCTGATGCTGTGGACTGGACTGCAGCACCTTGTTATAAATGGGTTGTATGTGCTGAGCGCCAGCTGGGCGATGATCGAACATATCATCGATATCAACCAGCTGGAAATCAAAGGCATATATGTAACGCAGCACCATGACCAGCAGCGCCAAGAGCCACAGGATCATGCTAATAATATAGCTGCAACGGAAGAGGTCCAGATACACATCGTGCGAGACGCTGTGGTCGTGGATGAGCGGCCGCAGCAGGGCAATCGCATCGCCACAGCTAAAATTAAAGGTTACTTAATTTGGTTTAATCAAGTGAGACACATGTAGACCCACCTGATGGCCTGGGGATTGGTGAGACCCTGCCGCAAATGCCCACACAGACGTCTCAGATAGCCATTGGTCAGTATCGTGTATGCAGCGCTGCCCAGGCTCATCAGCGTGAAGATCAATATGGAGGGCACCACAATCCGCCAAGGTTTGGGCAGTACACTGAAAAAGTTTAAAGAAAACTTAATTGTTGCCGACTGCCAGATACTCTATTCACAGTGTAAGTAGAGCTTATAATCAATTGAAAGGAATCTTCTGAATTGATAAGATTGTTAGCTCTGCGCAGTTGCAGAAGATTTTACTTTATTGTAGAAGTGCCCATCAATCGGCTCCCTAATGAATCTAGCTCCTCTCACGGGTAGCTCTACTCCCTATGACACGACTGTATATCTTACAAGTTTCATGAATAAGTGAATAGATCAATACACGCTCTATCTCTTTGTGAACAGAGTATAATAAGACAAAAAGTCAGACCTGGCTAGAATGACTGAGCTGGTTGTCCTGATCAAGAATATTTCTACTTTATGGGGTTGGAAATGCTTTCTTCTGTTAATAAGCACGAGAAACATTGGACCACTAACTCATTTTGAATGGGTACAGGGTATACAAACTAAAAGTGGTAAGACACTCACGATGTTTTCTTGTTGCCTGTTTGATAGATGAGACACATGGCCGTCCAGATAATGGCCACAGCCTCGGATATCAGTGGAAATGTGTAAACAAACTGGGCGCCAATGCCGCGACTCCAGCGAGTGGCATGTGTATCTATGGACTCTGCAAGCAATCAAATCAGATCAGATGCCGAACTTCTCTATGATCTTCTCACTATCTACTCACGGCTAGCCAGAAATTTGCGATCCGCTTCCGCATTGGGCACCATCTCAGGCGGTGCACTTGTTGTGGTTGTTGTTGCCTGCAGCGCATTTTCCTGCTCCCTTTCGCTGACCAGCCGGGCCAGCAGGGGCGCATTATCTTTGGGCTCGTAGATATGTTCGAATTTGTATTTTGGCTTTTTGGTTTCTGCTAAAGGGAATAATACAAGTTTAGTTATTTGACTTAGAACATGCGCCAGTTTACTTACGGCTGTCGCTCTTCAGCGATTGCGGCGTTTCATTTAATTCATACGGAAGCTGTGCCACTTTTTGCAGATCCTGCTGGAAGATCTCCTTGCTTCTGTTATCCATTTGGCCATAGTCGCGATCCTTAAACATTATTTTGGCACTGATGATTCCATCGTAGAAATCGCCGGATAGCACATGCAGTGAAACGCTCCACATAATGGAGAAAATTGCCACGAGCACCAAGAGACATATTACTAGAACTGCAAAAAAGAAAAATTAAATAATATTTCATATCCATTTAGACATTTTCCTTTCTTATGTGAGAAAAGTGAAGCTGGTAAATGCTCAGTTTAATGAAAATATCTTTGAAAACATGTTTTGCCATATAAGAACCTACTTTTCGACCGAACTTTGGATGTTGATTATTAATTTTGAGAAGGACTTTGAGATCCTAGTGGAACTAATAAATCGCTCAAGTTATCTTTTATTGAGAAAGGGCGGCCGTTCATTTATCAGCTTTCTGATATGGCAATCAGATCTGGTTAATTCTGAAATATATAACACTGACAACTCCTTTTGGGTTTGTTTAAATGGTTCTTAATTAAGTATTTATCCCAAAGTTTAACATTTAATATGTTCTTGAGCAATGTTTGTTAATATAAATATAAATAATTCTATATGTTTAGACCTCCGAAGCATTATCTATGACAATTATTTTCACCTACTCAAACCGTTTGCATTTTTTGTTTGATAAATATATTATAAGTTTTGAAATGATGATCTATTAACAAAACGAGAAGAAAACTATGTTTAGAAAACCTGAGAATTATGTGATGTGCTTGGATTCTATTACAACTATTTAAAGATAAAGGTTAAGGTCTGAATAATTTCAGATATAGAGGTAATACTTTTGGGCGAGCTTAAGCACAGATGATAAATAGTTGGCCAGGCCTTGGCAGCATCCATTTACAATAGAAATAGGTGGGGCTTGAGGTTGTGGGGGCGGGGGGCTGCCGTGGCAGAGACGTGGCGGCGTCTACTTTTGTATACAGATTCGTAAATTTACTAGAAGACATCGTGAAAACAAACATAGACAATGCACAGTCCATAAACTAGCTGGCCAGAGTTTATATTGGAGGCATGATATCATGGCAGATGTTTTATATGGTTTGGTTAACGAGCCACGAAAGCAACAACAACGACAACAACAGCAACAACAACAACGGCAACAACAACAATTAAAAACATTTGCCGATGACGTCGAAATTAGCGACGGAGCTGCTCAATAAAATCCATTTCAATTGATGCTAAATTTCCGACATGCCAAGTTCACAGAAATGCCGAGCAAAATATAAATTTTAATGGAACGAAATGAAAAATGCATTGTGGCTAAAAGTCAAGAAACATATTTACGAATTTGATATATATGTTATGTGTGTGAGCCATCATAAAAGTCGAAATCAAAATGGGTTTTTATTTTTGTTGTCACGCCAAAATGGGAAAGTTTTCATGTTCCAAGCTCCGAGCTCATAAAAGATATATATTCTTGATCAGCATCAACTTCCGACTGCCAGAAAGAACAGGTAGAAAATAAAATTGATATTCGAAAAATTTTTAAAGGTGAAAGCCCGCATTAAGTTGAGCTACTTTATTGTAGGTTCCTATGGAAACAATCGACGGGAATAAAAGCTTTTGTTTTAAAGAACGTCTATGTCGTGTTCAGGGTATTCAATAGTCGTCGAGCCAAAGACAGCGCTTGTTTCATTTATAATTTTGCCCATTTTTATGATTTGCAAGGATTAATAAAAAAATCGTAAACATAATGACAAATAGACGGACTGTCAAGTGCACCCGTGAATGGGGCGAGCAAATGAATAATGAATATTTTCATGCACAAGCGAACGCATAAATTAGAGAAAAACATGCATTCATTTATTAATGCTGTATTCATAAATGTGTGTGCCACTCGATATTGCGAGTTGCAGCAACAGCGATGACATCATGCCCCATCTCCAGCTGGGTGTGGACCAGGGTCGCGTACCGGAACGTTAATAGAACCATGCCTTGGGGCATTGTTGCTGCCAACAAGAGACTACTTCATCTGCCCGAAATCAGCTGTGCTTCAGAGCGGGGGGGGTAGCACTAACAACTAACTGAAATGCTAGCCCAGAGTGTCATTAGCGATGATGGCAACTATTTTCGGTCAGTCAAATTGGCGATTTGTGTAACTGAATATGGCTCACCGGGGGCCAGACGATGGCGTAATTCTATAAAGCCAGTCGAGCGAGTTATAAATAAATATTACGGCTCGAAACTTGATTTGAAAAGAAAACAGAATACAATTCAAGTATTGTATTCATGAGCCGCCAAATAAATGTGCGCCTAATATTCATAGAATTCAATTATGCATAGAAAATAAACCATGGATAGATTCATCACAAGCCCTTTGGATTCTTTAATAGCTAATATTAAATCCATGTGTATTACAAATTTCTATCTTTAAGTGCTACCTATATATAAAAGTCCATTCTCACTTGGCTGCATTACATGCTTAAAACATACAACTCATCGTCTTGATCAGGAATAAATATATGCTTTGTAGATTCAGAGATGCTTCCATTACATGCTTAAAACACATTTTTCAATGGGCTTAGAGTATAAAAACATTTTGCTTACATATATACAGTCGGAAGCTGTTTCAGTTTATTTGCAGTTGCCACTTTAATATGAACCACATGGCGTATGCGCATTCTTTTATAAACTACGCCCACGCAGCACTTGGCGCCATTAACTGCACAATCTTAATTGTTTATCAATATCTCAGCAAACATAAACAAATAGACAAACGTCAGAGCCGCCGAAAAGTGGTCAAAATGCGAATGGCCAGGAATGAAAGCGAGGGGCTAAGCAGCAGAGGGCGGTGCCTCCATTCAGTGGCCAATTAGCAGTCCACATAAAAAGCAGCACAAATTAACACATTTGCAAAGCCTTTAGGCCAATTTAGCACCTTAAACTATTTGCTTACGCCTATGGAAAGTCTGTGAGTACATATGTAATGCTAAAAGTACAAGTTCGTAAAAGGTCTGGCACATATGTATTCATATCTAATTTGAAGAATGAGGCCTCAGGCTCGTACTGGTTGTTGGTCGTACCTGTTCGAACTTGGATTTTCAATTTCAAAATCATATTATTATTAATAATACAAATCAGAAAAATATACACATAATTATTTATATTAATAATAATAATATTAAAAAAAAAGAAATTTAAATTAAAATAAAAGAAATTATTTTGAAGTAGAGCTGAAGGACTGGACGCTAGTTGTTGTAATTAATTATAGTATTATTTATAATATGAATGCATTATGGTTAATCTTGATAATCAAAATATCAATATCATCACCATCATCATAATAATAATAATAATAATAATAATAATGATAATAATAATAATAATAATATTAATAATAATAATAATAATATTAATAATAATAATAATAATAATAATAATAATAATAATAATAATAATAATAATAATAATAATAATAATAATAGTAAGAATAAGAATGAAAATGTTGTTGATTTATTTCTAATGGCTAACAAACTCAAGTGCGTTCTTGTCAAAATGTCAAAGTCATTCATCAACAATCGTTTGCACATTTTCGTAACATTATTGATGAAAGGCGCATTCCATACACATGACAGACGTGACGGACGCGACAGACGAGAGTCGTGAGAGGCGACAAATGGGAAGGGGGAGGACAGAGAAGGGACAGGCAACATGTTTGCCATAATTGATAAAAATATTTTTTCTGTCAATTTGTTAACCAATGAAGGCGCCTTCTAAAAAAATTCAATTAGTTATGTCAACGGCACGCACATACTTTTATATCTATATATCTTTCTTTCGGAATTATATATTCGGCCGAAGGTTGTTTTCACACAGCCCTTTGTGGGCTAAGGCCCTAAAAATGAAAGACTCGTCTGTCTATACACATATATTTAAATTACATTGTGACGCATTTACAATTTGTGAATAGCGAAATACTTGGGCTTATAAGAATAGAAATTGTGTTAGAAATTGTTAGAAAAAGGAAAAGGAAACATACGATTCAAGTTGCGCACATCGCCAGTTGTTAACTTTCCCTGCTTGTACTTTTTTATCAGCTCCATTGTGGCATTTTTTTATTTATATTTATATTTATTTAGTTTTTTCTTTTTGGTTTGCGGTTTGTTCTTGGATTTGGCTATGCTACGCGCGGAACACCCGATAAAAGCACTTCCTATAGCAAATTTTGCATTTATTTTTAGAATTTATTTCACACACACACACTTCATTCGTTTTTGGAATTATTTACATTTCTTTGAATATTTTATGGAGCACAATGTTTCATCAATTTTTCAGATTTAACGACTGCTAATCAGCTGTTTGGCAGGCCCAACAACACAATAAACAATGTGAAGCGCAATAAATATTAGCAATAGTCATAAATGAAATGAATTTTGTGCTTGTTTGGATTTAAAGAGTCGAAATTCAATAGAGCAGGGACAATTAGGTGCGGCTTGTGGATGCACTGGAGCGAAAAAAGCTTTATCTATGTAAGTAGAAACTGACTGGTTGACTGATTGACTGACTGACTAACTGACCGATCACTGATTGATTGATTGATGACAGCAGAGGACATTAGAACTAACCCAACTGATGTCAAAGCACAGTTAGGTGAATTCCACGCGTAGCTGCGGAAAATAAGTGGAAATCGATTGTTAAAAACTTTGTTGTTTAACATGCGAACAGGCTTAATATTTGGGATAATTCAGTTGAGCAAATTCAGTTAATGCAGGTAGCTTTCCACGAGCGGAAAACTGCTTACCCGAATTGAAAGCAAAAAGCTTGTTCCAGTTAAAACTGGACAATGCTCGCTACTAATTAAAATGAATGTAAAATATAAAAAACAAACAATAATTAACAATTTTTGCCTTTGTTGATATTTTGTGTGCTTCTTAATATTTTTACGGCATTCAATTTGTATGTCATATTACGTATACGTCGTGTAATTAACACCTATTGTTAGCTTTGAGCGCGTGGCTTGGGCTCCTTAATAGCTATGGCGTGTTCTTAGGCATATAAATATAGCTTTATTTGGCGCAGACAATCAAGACGCCAACTCCTGCCATGCAATCGCACCGCCGCAGTTCAGGGTCAGTCAAACGACCCCTCGCCGAAAATACAAGAGAACAAAATTGGTTTCATTGAATATTTATGCTATTTACATTATTGTTGTTTACTTAATTTGCATAAACGCGCTCAAGCGTTGGAAAAACAAACCGATTGCCGTATCGAAATTAAATAGAAGAAAGAAAAAAAACGAAAAATACGCTCCGCACGAGAAACATCAACCGCAGCTCGACGCAGTTGCTCAGACACTGAGGCGGCGGCAGCATTTGGCAGCCAGGCCAAAGCATAATATTTCTCCAGCAAATCACTCAAACAGGGGGCCAGAGCGAGAGAGCAAGCGGGAGAGCGGTTGGGAGAGTGAGGAAGCGAGAGCGTTGGACAGCGCGAGCGAGTTTCTTTTTGAGTTTTGTTTTGATTTTCTCAGCCTGCAACTGGTTATTCAAGTTGTTGTTTTCACGTTTTGTTTTGCTTTTGTTTTCTCATTGTTGTTTGTTATTTTTCGCATAGGCCTGTGCGGCAGCTACCTATTGTTGTTAGTTTTCTTCTTTAATTTCGAATACGATTTCGGTGCGTTGGAGGGGGCGTATGCGTAATATATGCTTTGTCTTATAAATCTGAGAATATTTGTAGCTATGATTATATTATAAATTTGTCATCAAATAATATGCATTATATATACATTCTCGGCCACTATCAACGACCGAGTCGATATATCCATATACGTCTGCCTGTTTCTATGCAAACTTATCTCTAAGTTGGAGAAGAAAAAATACTTTAACAACGCTACTTACACATTAAAGCATATTATCTAGTTCTGTAGACTGCAACGGTCTAAAAATTGGTGTTTGTTTTTCAAGTTTTGAAAAAAAAAATGTCAATCAAATTTAGACACTTACGACTTTCACAACACTGCAAAATATTATTACCATCAGGTCATTGTATCATCTTTTTCAATAGAGTGTATTGGTTGTAAAAGGAGTTCTTACAGGAGATATTTTTATGTGTTTTGCTTTTAAAGCATTTATTCGTTAAATTCTGCGTGCTACAACTCCTTGCTGTTGATATTTGTGAGTTTTTACGGGCGCAATTATCGGCGATGACCTTGAAAACGAAAGTCGCTTCTAGGCTCAAGGTGAGCTTAATTAACAACCACAATGTGTGTGTGAACCTGAAAGGGATATATGTGTATGTACTTCCATCGCGTGCTAGGCAAACGTCTAGGGTTCTTTGTTTTACACCAACTACAACTGGCAGCCGCTTTATATTTCTCTAGATTTCCAAGTATTGTTCTTTGCATTTTAATTGTATTTTTTTCTTTTAAATTTACAAAAATATCTTATCGCATACAATTTGTTTAACTGGCAATTCTAAGTATGTTAACATGAAAAAGGAAACATTTAATGATACGAGTTTTATTTGAATGGGAATGTTTAATCTCTAACCTAATATCGTACTTCTTGGGCACTCGGCAATTTATATTTATTTTTATACATATAATATGTGTGTATAATAACAATAACAAAAAAACCGCACACGCAATATAAACATGTCGACATGATAACACAAATGTTTTTGCCAAAAAGCATAATCTTTCGAGCATTATAATACCATATCTAAACAATATAATCATGTATTTGCAAGTTAAACCAAAAATTTCCAACAGTCAGCAGGAAGTATTACCTGAATTCATATAAGTCAATTGTTTTATAGCCCGATTAAATATGTTTCATTCAATTTCACTTGAAGGTATAAAACACATTTAATAATAGGAAAACATTATGATAAATACATGTTATCACATAGTTCCACACAATATATGACCTTTACATATGCCTACAATATGAAGATATATTGTTATTTATATATTCTATTAATATTTTCTGTTTACCTACGAATATGTGCGAAGCCCGTAATGTGGCTTTTAAATGGGCGATGACGTTGTTCGCTTATGCAAATTAGAAAATGCTGTGAGTAAGCTTCATAAATTTGTTACAAAGTTACAGCCAACGGATACATAGATACAGATACGAAACAAAAAGATACACAGCACCAAGACAGTAAATAACATTTGGCGATCAATCACATTGGCATGATTAAATGCAAATGCTGCCACTGAAGGACATAAACCGCTCAAAATAAATAAGAATGCTCTAGACGGGTGAGCTCGACTAGGAGATGCACTATTCTATAGAGTTGGAGTTTACTTTGTTTGATCTTAAGGGATGAGTAGGGAGCATCCAAAAAGTTACATGTTCTTAATATCTGTATACTCTACGGACACCTACATCTTATATTTGATATCTCTAGCTCCTTAAAACTTCATAATATCCCAAAAATATAATTGCTTGTTAACATGAGGGTTAACAGACGGATCTAAGTTTTAAATTTCAAGTGTCAAGCTTAAAACATACTTTATAGGTTCAAATATTCTTCCTACTGCCGGTTATATATAATATAATAGAATCAATTGAAGAACACTTGGTGCAAAAGTTAACATGGCGTATGCTTGATATTCATATTTATGGTTTAAAAGCTGTATGTTTGAGCCTAAGTAGAAAATCGAATACAAATTTAAGACACATTGACCAACTATTACTAGACTCTAATCTGATTTTAGCTTTTTATCTTTTTTTTAAGATACCTTTCACAATTTAGGTATTAAATTTATCGTGAGGATAAAGTACTTACGCTCACAGCGTACGACCCCGTGATGCGCCTCCTTGGTCAACATTGTCAGACTTTCGCCTATCTGGCGTATCCTCTTCGGCGTGCTCATTAGCGCACTTGCGGTCATTCTGAGCTCGTAGATTTAACAAAACTGCTTCAGTCATATTTTCCACTTCGTTTTTGTGCCCCCTACATGAGGCAAACAATTAACAAAATGGCAATGCAAAAACTTAGCACTTGGCTGCGCATTTTTCTAAAGTATTTCTGAATTTAGCGGAGCACTCGAAATACAGCCAACACGTTGACGACACGTTAAATGGAAGCGAGCGCGTTCAAATTCACGTTCAAACGAAGCGAATGCTCGATGTGAACTGCGCGCAGCAGAAGAAGCGCGACATAGTGGGCACGACTATGTGTGTGTGTGTGTGTGTGTTGTGTGTTGCTTGTGTGCGTGTGGCAAATTCAAATTTGGTGGCGTCACTAGCCTGTGGTAAGTAACTGAGCATAGATGCCAGACAGTCAGGTATTCTGTCAGTCTGGCTAGGCAGAGCAGCTGTCTATAGGGTGTGTGTGTGCGTGTACGTGTGTGTGAGTGTGTGTGTGTGTGTTAGTAACAAGTCACCCCTAAAGGACCTGCACGCACCGATGCCAATGACCGACCCAGTCCGCGTTTTGGGACACATTTTTCAATCCCCGAACTGGGTATTACGTGTGCATTAGAGTGCCCAGCTGAGTTGACTGTTAATTAGCACAGCCCTAAAAAACAACACCTGGCGTTTGTTTGGGCCACTTTATAAAATAAAAACAACTGTTAGTCAGAAAGGCTCGACTAGAAAAAGCACCGTGTCCTTAACCAACATTTCCAATTAATTTTATACAGACTAACTAGGCTAAATCGAATCATACGTTAATCCTGCTCTCCTTAGGTATACTAAGTTATCCAATCGACAATAAGGATTCTTGGCCGTCTGCTTCTCTATAATATCCTACATAAAAGTATAATATACAGTAGCTGTAATGCAGATAGCTGCAGGACACTAATACAATCTTAAGCTAACATTAGATTTTATATCATTTGTCAGATTCCATAAAGTAAACGATAAAATAAAACTATATACATTTTTAAGCTATTTTCAATGGATACAGCGCATAGAATTGAATTGCATTTTTATTTTATGAAAAATACTCGTTTGTTTCTTAAATAAATTAGTAAGTAGATTTATAATATTAGTTTTTGTATAATGCGTGGTGTACTTGGTGTTAGTTACAAAAAATTGTCGTTTGCATTTTGCTTAGGTTACGATATTTTTGCTTTGTTTTTATTGTTTTTGTTTTTGTTTCTTTTTTTTTATACAAAAAATCTTACACACATAGATAATTACTAAATGTTATTGGTGTTAATTAGACTAAAAATTTCATAAAACATTTGTGCAACAAAAACGCATTGCAATTAATTTGTTGTTGTTGTTTTTTTTTTTTTTTACTTGCCCGCTCGATAAATAAATATAAAATTAACATATATATGTATGTATATATATAAATTTGATCAATTTGTTGAAATTATTCGCCGAACAATATAGTAAAAAGTGTTCGCATTTCTTTAACAATTTGTTGCATATAATATTACATATACATATATAATTAAAACCCGATTGTTTGAACAATTGTGAATCGATAGATCGACTCTCACTTTTGGATACTTATTAGCTAGATTGTCTATACATAGAGCTCGACTACATATAATACTACGAGTAAATCTTGCTTGATTTAATATGGATTCTCGAATTGTAAAATGTATAAATAAATTTTGATTTTGTTGCTTTTATCAACGAATTCTACGAATCTATAAATCAAACATTGAAATAATGCAATTATATAACATATATATAGATCGAACTTGAACGAGTCCTGGGAACTCCCTGATTCATCAAAAAAAAAAAAAATATGTTAGTGCATGTTAAACAAAACTACAACAAACAAAGCTGTGCGAATAATAAAATCGAGTTAATTATAAATTGTAATATAAATTATGCACTCATATGGGTAAAGCTCAAACTATATAAAATTAATTAAAATCAATAATGTTATTAGATTAAATTTGCATAATTAGATTTGAGTGGACGCAAGTAACATGGAATTGCTTTTGAATCGAACAATTTTATGAATTAATACCTAACTCTTGTAATTCCAGTGCGCTTTGCAGTTTAGGGAATTGGAATTTTGGCAAATAAATAGTTAAATACAGTGATAAGTTAGACTAAATTAGCAACGAAATGAGTGAAATAAATTACAATATAAATAGGAAATATATAGGAAATTTATAAAAACATAACAGGAAACGTGTGTGTATGCGTGTGTGATTTGCAAATACTATTCATGTTTCAATAGAACTCCGCGATGGCTATTCCAGTAGCCGCCTTGGACAGGCTTGCTTGCAGCGGGGAATGAGTTGAGTTAGGGGATGGTATTATATAGTAGTAGTAGTAGTTGTGGTAGTAGTAGTAGTATTTGTTGTTGTTGTTGCAGCTATAGCCAGTGCGTGTTATAGTCTATTTGATGCGACGCAGCGGCAGCGTGGGACTCTCTGGTGGTGTATCGCCGCCAGCCGCACTGCCACCGGAACTGCCGCCCACGACAATATGTTGCAGTGAGTGCTTCTTGGTAACGCCCTTGAAGGGCGGACCCAGCTTGCGTGGACCACGTGGCGATGCAGAGCTTATGCTGCTATTGGAATTGGCCTCCATGGCCGCTGTGGAGCCAGCTGAGGCGGAGGGCGCTATGCCAAGCGGCGGCGCCACATCAATGGATGCCTGTACCCAGCCTGCAAGCAAACACATGTGAGTTTAGACAAAGATTCGACATGTTCATATGGCATTGTAGTTACCTTTGACAGAGGCGCGATTGGGATCAATTAAAGCGGCTGCAAGGGGCGCGCCAGAACTACTCGCATTCGACTCACGCAATGTGCTTAGCGTCGACAACGGCATTGGATTGTAAATGCGACTGGCAAAGTCCTCGAATGTAGTGCTCTCCTTGTAGCGCGACGAGACGCTGTCCAGCGAGCGATTGCGCTCCTCATAGCTGTCAGGAAGAGAGCAACAATCACAATAATTACAACAATTTGTCAAAGTTAGCTTAAGGTCGATTACTCACAATTGCTGGTAGAGCGGCAGGGCGGCGCGCTTGGTGCGACTCGCATTGATGGCCGTCGCTCGTATGAGCGTGGCCAAGCAGGCGCCACTGACGACTGACTCATTGGCAAGTGGCCCAAACCAGGGCACCTCCGGCTTCCGATTGACCGTCACACGAAACAGTCCATTACGCAGAGGATAGACAACGATGAGCACATCGCAGAACTCCGTTGGCAGAATGTCGCGTCTGTAGTCGCGATGATGCTCGCTCCAGACAATATGCACCTCATCGTTGCCCAGATGACGCGTCTTCAGCAGCATGGCCTCCGATGAGTCTGAGGGCATGCGCGTTGCCACATGATAGACAACCTCCAAAAAGGGCGTAGCATAATATGGCGCCGTAGCGCCACAACCCTGACGCGGCAAGCCGCCCAGAAAGCCATTGTGCGTCTCCAGCTCTATCTCCCAGCCGAGCGCCGAAACGAACATCTCGTACATGCTGCTGCCATTGGTGTTGCGCAAGATGCTCGTCTTGTCCTCCTGCCCGGCGGCCACATAAATGACAGCCATTTTGTGCGTTTCACGGCACTTTTGCAAATCAACGTTGCGCAGCTCGCGCAACAATTTCTCGCTGCGCTGCAGCAGATGGGTGCGTGAGCGTCGTTCCCAGCCGGCCAGGCCCAGATGGGCAAAGAGCAGGCGACAGTATTGAAATGGCGTCTCGACACGACCCGGCAAACTACCACTGCCGCCGGCGCCCGTGAACGAGTCAAACGAAGCGGTTGCACTGTGCAGCGAACGTTGATCCGGTTGCTGCTGCAGCAGGGATGAACTGGAGCCCGCATGCCGCAACGAAGCAGCCGTGGGCGTCTGTTGTGATTGGCGAGCAACAAACTCCTGTTCCAGCACACGCTGATTGAGTATGATTGATATGGCCTGCGCCTCCTGGGCGCTGCTCAATGGACTGCAGCTGGGCGCATTCAGTTCGGCGACCGTGGGTGGCACACATTCCGGACTGGTGTGACCAATATAGGCCAGCATATCGTCCAGCTGATCCAAATCGGGCGCCGCATCCTTGGCCAGCGGCAACACACCGACTGGACGATGCCGCAGTGTGTGTCGCGGCAATTGCGGGTCCTGGTGCGCTAACGAATCCATCGGCTGACACAGCTTTGTCAGCCGCGACGGTCCATCGTAGCGTTCCGAGCTGTACTGGGCGTGCGCGGGCGCTGGCACAGTTTCAGCCTTGCGCGGCTCCGAATACAGTATGGAGGCATCCCAGCAGGCTTTGCCATTCAGATCGCGCATGAGCACACGCACCTGCTTCTCGGCGGTAACCAAGCCAGCCGTAATGCCACCACCAGGCAACTTCAACGTGGGCAGCTCTATAAAACTGGCTACCAGGCCCGAGTTAAGCATGAAAAGCTGCAGATTCTGTGCATTGACCACCGAGGGTAGCTCCATGGAGTCACGACGCTCCAGCTGGCTGCCGCCGGCGCCGCTGGCGCCATTGCCGACAATATCATCCTGCTCCTCCACCATGGAGCTCAGGCGTGATGCACCAATGCCCATGGGAAAGTGGCCCAGATGCGTAACCAGATGCATAGCAACCGCTCGGGCGCACAGCCTTATGGCCGAGATGCAGGCCTGTATCGTCTCCGATGTTTGATAGTTAGCCTCCGGCAGGCGTCCATCGCCCTGCAGATCATCGCTGGCAATGTGCATATCGAAATCCTCATCCGAGGTCAGTTTGACGCGTTCGTGACGCGGCGCACCGGATGCCACCTGGAGCAGGACGCGCAGCACCTGCAGCACCAGCGTATCGCCCTGGTCATTGTAGGGCGTCAGCATCAGGGTAGCTGGTATGGCCATGCAGAACTCGCCGAGGCAGAGCATCAGCGATGTCAGCACCACCTTGTCTGCATCCTTGGGCTTGGACACGTTCTGTATATCCAAGGCACGACACAGTGCCGTTATAATCAGGTGCGGCACACGTTCAATGGCCGCCAGTTGACGTCCGCGCTCCGCGCACAACTTGAGCGCATCCACTGCGATGACAGCGATGGTGTGATGCTTGAATTGTAGAGCCTGGAGCAGCACCTGCAGCACCTCCCGTATGCGCGGATGAAAGCTGTGCGCATGCGATTCCTTTGGCGGCAGCACATCCTTGGGATGCGGCACCGATTGCTGAAATGGAACACGCTGCTGAGCGTTGCGTGTGGGCTGGGAGAGACGCAACAGCAGCCACTGTCCCAGCTGGCAGAGCGCAATGCAGCGCGCCTTGGCCGAGGGTTCGCGACGTGCACAGCGCAGCATTATGTTGAGTATATGATCCTGCAGATCGGGACATTCCATCAGTTCAAATTGCTGCGGCGTTGGCTGCAGCACGGGCCGCGGCAGCAGCGTTGCGGGATATGCCAGCAGCGAGCCCAACAGGGCGGCCACCTCAGCGCGCGGCGTTGTGCGTGTAACCTCAAGGGAGGTCAACAATATGGCGCTGGCATGCACCAGATCCAGCAGCAGCAACGTGTGCCCCGGCAGCAGTAGACTCAGCAAACGCGGCCCCTCCAAATGCTTCATAATGGCATAGATCAGATCCCGATCCTCGCCGGTGAGCAGCTGATGCAGCGCATGATAAAACAGCGGCAGCTGTTGCATTCCAATGGCACCCTGCAGCGCCAACGAGCAGAGCAACTGCAGCGCCCACAGTTTGCCCTTTTTGAAGGAACGATCCAGGGTGAGAGCGCCGTAGCACCAAGGTGCTACCACAGCAATGGGCGGCACCAGCGGCGGCGGCGGTGGTGTACTTTGGTTATCCGTCGAGATGCCCTGATTCTGTTTGATCTTGATGAGGTTTTGGGTCATCTCCAGCAGATGCTTAAACACTTGCGCATGCAGCTCCGATTTAGGTATGCGATTCACATCGCCCAAGGCGCCCAGCATGCGTTTCCACATAATGGACGTGGAGTCGGGCAGCCAGCCGGTGGCCGTGCCGCCGAGCATAATCGAGCGACGCTCAGATCCATAGCCACCGGTGCCAAAACTGCCGGAATTGCCATCCTCCAGGCTGCCCGAGTCCGCGGCTAGCACATCGATCTGCAGCTGGGCATCCTTAATGGAGCCGCCTTCAATGCCGCTGCTGGCCGTGGGCGATGGACTGCGCGAACCGGCTCCACTTTCAGTGTCCTCCACCGCATCCTGATAGCCATCCACATCGTCCACCGCCTGCTGTGAGCCGCGACGCCGCCGACTTTTGCGTATGGGCGCTAGCGAATCCAACGACATGGCGCGGCGCATATCCTGGACAGTGCTCTGCGCCTCCAAAGTAGCGCGTATGCCAGCTGCCGCGGCGTCTGTCTTAGGCGGCACGGGTCGTCGTCGGCGTATACGTGAGTTGCGCGCCGCCGACGCCAGGCTGCCCTCGCTATAGCTGCGACTCAGCATTGGGGTAAGCGGCACAGGACGTACACCATGGCCGGTGCCGCCATGTGATTGCGAGTGCTGGTGATGGGTGCGATTGTTGGGCTGCAGCAACGGCGCCTGGCTATTGCCGCCCGCCTGCGAGTTCTCATCGGAGCGACTGCTATTAGATTCGGCGATGCTTTCACGCTCGCGGTGGAGCGCGCTGGTCGCCACGCTGGCCCCGCTGGCACTGGCACTGCCCGATCCCTGCCAGACGCTGCCAATGCGTCGCCGCTTGCCACGACTCTCGGCCACACGGTCCAGCGGCAAATCTAGCAGATTAATTCCATAGGTATAGCGCGAAAAGACGCGCGTCAATGTTTGTATCGTCTTACTCCACTCGACGATGAGCTCCTCGCGATGCGTCAGCGACTGTAGAACGGTGAGAAACTTCTCCCAGAGCATCACATTAACGGGCACATTGGTGTGCGCCCGTATCCAGGTTACGATAAGCGTTTGAAATATGGCCGAGCCGAGAATGCCGCCCAGGCTGGCGCTCTTGGAGCCACTGGGCGGCGGATTCTGATGCAGCACAACGGCGGTCACCTGCAGCAGCACAAGCAGCATTTGTTCCCACGTGCGCGACTCCATGCGTGTGTTCATCACCATGGTGCGATACACGTTTAGTACCTTCTTGCATATCTCCGTCTGCTCCTGCAGCGGCGTCGATCGATAATCCCGCGAGCGTGTGGGAAAGCATATGTTCAGATTTGCCGTATTTACAAGGAACACATTCGCCGCATTGGTAACAAACACCTGCAGCACATTCTGCATGCCCGCACGCACCACCTGCTGCTGCTCCCTGTTGCCCTGCATGGCGCCCACGTAGGAGGGCGTGCGCAAGCGTTGGCTTCGCGGCGTGCCACCAGGCGGCGCCGTCGGTGCGCCCTGTTGTTCATCATTTGGCTCCAGCAGAAATGGTGGCGGTGTGCTGCCCGTCATCCAATCCCGATAGACAGCAATGGCCGTGCGTATAGACTCGATTTGCGCTTTTGATGTGAAGTTCAACAGAAACGCCTGCCGATAGACCTCGTGCACAAAGTTGATGTTCTCACGGCTCACATAGAACACATCGCGCACAATGAGGCCCTGCTGATAGCCCAGCAGCCGCGCATGATCCACGCCCTCGATGTGCAGGGCACAGTCCAGGCGGTGGCTAAGCAGACGCTCGTGTGTGAAGCGTGATACCCAATTGATGAGCACCACCACGCAGGAGGCCATAACCTCCTCTTTTTTGTGTATCGAACGCATGACAGGCATCTCCAAGCGGGGATTGTATATCGAAGTGCTCGCATCAAAGCTGGGCGAGAAGACAGGCAGAAATACGTCCTTGAAGCGCTGCAATAGAAATGCAAACGCTCGATGATCCTTCTGGGCACGATTGTCGCGCCAGCGCAGACAGGCGGCCGTTTGCACCATGCTATTGAGTAATATTTCCAGTCCATCGCGTGGATCCGGTGGCGCTGACTTCTCGCTGGACGAGGGCGGCAGCAGTGCAACCACCTCAGAGCTCTGCACGGGATGTGAGAACGTATTGTCATGGAAAACGGAGGCCATGCCGCCGTCTGCCTTCATGTTGGGATGTGTGAGAAAATCCGTAGCACTGAACTCCGTATCGGGCCCCACAATGCCCTTCTGTGGCACAATCAGGCCGGGTATCAAATCCGCGTACATGGCGTGCACATAGCCTGGCGCATTGTCGCCCAGAGTCTGGTACCACAGCAGAAAGTATCTAAAAGTTTAAAAGGATTTAGTTGACTTCCAAGCTCGTCAAATTTCTAAAACTTACTTCACACCCTCGCGTCGCAGCTTGGGCGAATTGCCCAAGTGCAGCAGCTTGGCCATGATGCGGCTGAGCGAGTGGCATTGCCAGCGGCGAGCCAACAGCTCCGGCAACAGGCACAGTATCTTCTCCAGCAGCCATAGCGAACCATCCAGTTCCTCGCGATGCGCTTTGTGCACTGCATAAAGATAAAGGATAATTGTGGATTAAAGAGCCAATCTCAGCAAAGTAAATTCCTGGATCACACAATCTGAGAGAGTCCTAAGCAAGCACATGCCAATGGCGGGACAAGCACAAAATGCAACGAAGCGAGTGCGATAGAGACGAGGCGAGTGGAAAAAATTAATGAACAATTTTATTTCATTTAAGATAATTTACACTTTAAAGAACAAAAAATTATAAAAAAAAAAGCTTAGAAAGCTTTTTTACATACAGCTTTAAAATGAAATATTTTTAAAAAGCTTTAAGAAACACTGGAATTAAACGAAGCAATATGTGATTGAGCTAAAATAAACTTTTAAAATGAAGCAAATGCCAATGGAAATGGAACAAATTCCCACAATAATTGATATGTAAATGCTGTTAGGAACGCTGGGATAGAACACTGTTTCTACTAAATGAAACATGTTCATGAAAATTACACCATTTTCAAATACCTAGATAGAAATGGAATAGACTTCTATACTATACTAGATATTTATAGAATGGCATGTGAAATTTTTAAATATATTTCTAAAAGGCTTCTTAATTAAAATGCAAATTTAAAAAATGCCTAATGGAATGTTGGAATGAAACAGACAATTCACGATGGCACATGTGATAATTTGATTGTTTACTTCTATCAAAATCATATGAAATAAAAATTACACTTGATATTCTGACATGTTCTTGTGACTGGAATGGAACGGAATGGAACAGTAACAAGCTCTGTAAACGTAGTGACAAATAGAAAACAGAAAGATGAATAGAATGAAACAATAGTAAACAATGTAGGGGAAATTTAAATTTAAAGCAATGTCGGAATGTGATGAATTTTACTGGATAAGTCAATAGAAGACCACGCCGCAAACTTACCAATGTGAAACGGAAGTTCTGCCGGTAAAAAGTTATACAAAAGAGAGGGCAAAAACAAATTTAGCAGGAATTGAAATTAGAGTATTTCCTTAAACATAATCATAGTAACTTTATAATTCTTTTGTTTTTTTTTTTAATGAGAAGTAACGTATTAAGCAAATGTAGATACGTACATATATTTGTAGACAAAAGACACAAACAAGAAGCAACCATTAATTTTAATGCGGTTTGCTTTCTTAATTGGTAGGGAAAAGATTAACAAGTTGAAAGCGGACAAAAACAAGTAAAAGTGCTCTAGTCGGGAGTGTCCCACTAGCAGATACCCTGTACCCTGTAAAAGCTAAAAATAAAAACTATATTTATCGTAGGAGGTTAACTGTGAAGAAAAGTTAACTTCTTTGTCCCACCTTAATTTGAAGTTTTTGTTCTTATAGAGTCTGAGGTCCACAGACAAGCGAATGGTCGAATTTCGGAAATCAATTAAACTTAGTGATCAAAAATATACTCTATACTTTACTGTATCGCAAATGTCTCTTGGCTGTTACAAACATTAGAGCAACTGCAACACACCCCCTTTTTTTCAGGTACAGGGTACGTAAACTAAACGTAAACGTAAACGTTTTTAAGATTTGATGTGCTTAATTACCTTTTTGCTTAAGATTTGCCTCGGCCTGAATGAAGGTGTCGTAGAGTATAAAATAGACATGGCTATAATTTGTCTCGAACAGCGACTTTGACTCCTCATAATCCACATTATCTAAAAAGAGAAAGATATATAGGGAAATAATTTAGCACATGCTGTATGCACACATATAAAAACAAATCCGAGTAACCCAATTCCCGCTCTGATCTGATAAGCACAGCCCGCTTCCCACTTGAGCAACAGGTGGTGGACGCTGACGCAACGTCAACATTGATTGGCCAATAAACAAAGAGCATATCGCCGATAACGATAGACATGTCTGTACGCATATGTAAGTATATACATACGCATGTGCATATGTATATTTGCATGCACTTGCATGCAGGCGATTTCCATAGTTCCGTTCTGGTGCAGACTCGAGAAAAGAAAACCACACATGACGAATGGGCGAAAACCGCAGAAGCGGGCTCAAAAATGCGTTGAAAAAAAAAACCAACATTTGATGAATCAGTGCCGGAGCGGTAAAAGGGTTGCAGGGGGTGGAGAGGGAGCAGGGGGGGCAGGTAGCTGCTGCTGCCGGCATGTGTAGCTGTCATCAGCGAAACGCTGCAAAACAGAAGAAAGCTAAACGTTGAGCGGAAAGAGTAGGCCAAGAAACCTTTAAAACTGGTTTCATAGAAGGCCAAATGCGAGGCGCGCTTGTTGATAAAGTAACAAACAATTGGAAAAAAGAACTAGCTACATATGTATGTATGTATGTATGTATGAGTGTGTGTGAGTGTTTGTGTGTGTGTGTGTGTGTGGCACAAACTGCGTGTAATTTGCCGAGTAAAAACAACAATAACAATGGAGCCGAGCGGGTGGGCAGGCACCTGTTGGGTGCTTTTTTTTTTTTTTGTAAATAGCTGCGTTCAATGACACAAAAAGAAAGTTACACAGCCACATACATACATACATGTACATATGTACGCAAGTATATACGTAGGCATGTGCATTTGTATATGTATTGCATGCATGTTTTTTGGCTGGTGTTGAAATTGTAGCAACAATGTTGCCACTCAGTCAACAGTTGCCGCCAGTTGGTAAGCGCCGTAATAATTGTGTGCCGCGTTTATCATTTGACGTTTTTTCACACATTGCGCGTTAGGTATACATGTGTGCGTGAGTGTGCGGTGTGCGTTTGTATGTCTCATTTTTGCATACATTAGAGTGTGGTTGCCATTTGTTAAGTTATGATATTTAGTACGCTGTTAAATTTAACAGTTGGGAGCAGAATAACAAATTAAGTATTACAATTTAGTTTTAAAATAAAATGTCTGTGTGTGTGATGTGCCTGTCTACTTATGTACAGCTATATATTTGCCATTTGATGAGTTATGCCTTTTTTTTTATTTGTTTAACGAAACATCAACATTAGCTAGTTAACAGAGTTTGAACAAAACAATGAACAGTGGGAGTAAATGTATTTGCATATGTAAATATGTACGAATTGTGTGTGCTCCAACAGGAAATAGCATTAAGCGCTGTGGGCCGCAGCTATAAAATAATAATCAACATTTGTCGCTTAATATTGCTACATTTTAAATGGCAGCGACCACGGTCAAACGCCCACCTGTCCACTCCAGCAGCAAAAATATTAATATACATATATATGCACATATACAACTCGTTTGCATAGTTTTTTTTTTTTTTTTTTTTTTTTGTTTAATAATTTATAGAGAGGCGTTAATTGGTATTCAAGTACATTACCTAATATTGTGCGCAGGTGGCGCAGGCGGGAGGCCGAATCCTTTTTGCAATCTTGCAGCTTGGCCGTCGACTTTTTAACATCCGCGTGGGATTTCTTGGTAAACATTTTAGCACTTTTGCGTTTCTTATAATTAATATTTGCACACAAACATTCTTAAACTAATTCGTTTGATTTCGTTGCTAAACAACATAAATAAATCGCATGCACGCACGCACGCACACACACACACACACACATATACACAGCCGCACACTCGCACACTCACTGTATATACTTTCTTTTCGCACTTTGTCCAGCGGAGCACCAGATGCGCGAGAGCCCCCGGAGAAATTATTAGCATCGACCGCCCGACCAAGCAGCGACCATCCGTCCCAACGAAGCTGACGTTGCTGTTGGGTGCGCTGCTGCCGCTGCTGTTGCTGCTGCTTTTCGCAGTTCGTTGTAAATTTTTGCTTTTATTTCATGTCTACACATTCGCTCTCCCAGCAGCCAATTGCACATAGACGAAGCGGAGTCGCGCAATTGCCAGATTGCAGTTGAATTCATTAATTTTTGTTAAATTTACCGTTTCACTGCACATTATTAAACATTTTTCGCTGCAGCACGGACACGGAAGAGCTGGTTTTATGCGTTTTTACGAAATACAAATTCATCTGCGACGCGTTTGTTGGACTAAAATAAAAATTCGGCCAATCAACCAGGTGGAATGTTATTTAACAGCTAGACATAACATTGGCAAGAGCATTAACATCCGCTCGTCTGTTATTAACAGAGAACGATAAATACTTAGTATGTTTTTAAGCTAACACTGGCCCTGTATATTTATTAATTTGATGTAAGCTGTTGTTTACCTATAACTACGGTTTGTTACTTATTTTTATATAGAAATAAGAATTATAATTTCAAATTAGAGCTCAAACTTTGGCTGCAATACTATCGTTTCTTGTCTTATACTGTTAAGATACGACTAGCAAACATATCGATATATAAAATGCATAACTTATATTTTAGTTCTGCTTCTTATATTTAACTTATTGAACAGCCCGCAAAATAATTCAAAAATAATGGCAAGAATAAAACTAGCGATATAAAAACTTAATAAATGTATTGCAATTTATTTTATTTAATGCTTTTGTAGGCACTATACAGCAGGAACTGCTCTATATGCACTTACTGCACGTCACACAAATTTTACAGCTACTGCTGACAGTTATTCAAACTGCTGAGCATCTACTTTCTCAAACAGTTGGGCAACCTTGTTTCAGCTGTCATTTGCAAAGACCGGTGTTCTAATTTCGTTCCTTTGCTTTTCAAACGTCAAAATCGTTAGACGTGATTTGCAGTTTTAAGTCCGGTGAACGCAATAAATTTGCTTCCAATTGAAATTTGAAAAGTCAAGCGCTATAAAACCAACGCGAAATGTCATCCCAACCAGCTGGACGTCCACCGCTGAATGATGAGCGCGTGAACGCGTTATCCAGCTATCGCACGAAACTCCTGGAGCATCGCGAGATCGAGTCACGCTTGAAATCGCTGCGTGACAAGCACAAGGAGCTGCATTTGGAATTCCAGAAGTCCGAGGATGACCTGAAGGCACTGCAGAGCGTGGGCCAAATGCTGGGCGAGGTGCTCAAGCAGCTGACGCCGGACAACTTTATAGTTAAGTCTGCCAATGGGCCGCGCTATGTGGTCGGCTGTCGCCGGCAGTTGAACAAGGCGAAGCTTAAGCCTGGCACACGAGTCGCCCTGGACATGACCACATTGACCATAATGCGCTATCTGCCACGCGAGGTGGATCCACAGGTGTACAATATGACGCACGAAGATCCTGGCAATGTCGACTATTCGGCCATTGGTGGTCTCGGTGATCAGATACGCGAGCTGCGCGAGGTCATCGAGCTGCCCCTAATGAATCCCGAACTATTCATACGCGTTGGCATCAATCCGCCCAAGGGATGTCTTTTGTATGGCCCGCCCGGCACTGGAAAAACGCTGCTGGCACGCGCCATTGCCTCCCAGCTGGATGCCAACTTCCTGAAGGTCGTCTCCTCGGCCATTGTGGACAAGTATATTGGCGAGAGTGCACGTCTCATACGCGAGATGTTCTCCTATGCACGCGACCATCAGCCGTGCATCATTTTCATGGACGAGATCGATGCCATTGGCGGGCGTCGCTTCTCGGAGGGCACTTCGGCGGATCGTGAAATACAGCGCACACTCATGGAACTGCTGAACCAAATGGATGGCTTTGATGCTCTCGGCCAGGTGAAGATTATAATGGCCACCAATCGTCCGGACACTCTGGACCCGGCACTGTTGCGTCCCGGTCGCTTGGATCGCAAACTGGAAATACCATTGCCCAATGAAATAGCCCGTCTCGATATACTGAAGATTCATGCAGCCCCTCTATCCAAGCAGGGCGAGATCGACTATGAGGCGGTTGTAAAGCTATCGGACATGTTCAATGGCGCCGACCTGCGCAACATTTGCACCGAGGCGGGTCTGTTTGCACTGCGCGAGGATCGCGAGTATGTCATTCACGAGGACTTCATGAAGGCCGTGCGCAAGACTGCCGACAACAAGAAGCTGGAAACCAAATTGGAGTACAAGCCACTTTAATGCAGCAGATACATCTGATAGACAAACGACAAATGTAATTTATATGTGACATAAAATTTAGAGCTAGACGGCTTTACTTTCTTTCTTTTTGTGATTTTAGTTAGCGAATTTCACTCTTAGGCATGGAAAATGCATGGAATGGGATTGACACTCAACATAAAGAGGTGGAACACAGTTTTCTACAACATAATCTACTTAAAGAGATCTATATGAAAACTGATTAGGGACATGATTACCATTCACTGTCATGGAAAACAATATTTCATCCATTTTAGATAATTCACTGTTAAGCGTGGAAATGCCAAGAGAGATGAGGATTTAGGTTCCATAAGCGAAAGTTTAATATTCTTTCATAGGGCTTAAGTGTATGCCCAGAGTCTCTACATGTAAAATGGAGCAGTACTAGGTTTCGCGAATATTGGCATAATCACGCCTACAGGCGGAAAATGGGTGAGAAAGCAGACTTGCTAGAATTTTAATAAAAAACTACTATTTAATATGACATTCGAACAGATTTTTGTTACTTGTGACCTTTAACTACGACAATACAGTGGATACCGGATTCTCATTACTCCGTAATTAACCGTTTACCAAGTAAGTCAACCTTAATTTGTTAAGTGCCTTAATTATGCATCGCATGAGATAAGGACACAGCTTAATTAAGGTACAATTAAATCGTTGCCGGTGCACGTCAGTGCCATGCAACACCTGAAGGCGGCAACACGCCGCATACGCGCCTCCTGGCGGACGCCTCGACTGCGCAGCTCCTGGACGCTGACCAGCCGCGTGGTGATGGGCTGTTTGATAATTGCCATAGTGCAGAATATAGTGTATGGGATTTTTCCGTGTTGTTTCGATTTCAAGCACAGGAAGTTTGTGTTTTGCAAGACTTTGGCCATTTACTGCTTTTCGGTGGCCACGCTAATTGGCGCCTTCTATGTGACCCAGATTTGGGTGGCATACAGCGAGAACAAAATCGATCTGCGCGATCCCATTCAGATCTATTGCTATATGAATCTGTGCGTGGCGCTGCTCAACTATGTGACCCAATGGGCCATCATACCGGAGATCTTGAGTTTTCAGAATAGTTTGCCATTGTTCAGCACCCTCGACTCTTTTACCATCTCGCTGAGATCGGTGGGCCGGGCCACGTCTCTGGCCAGCCTCAAGATGTTTGTCTGTCCGCTGCTGATGCATTTCACCCTGATTATATACCAGAGACATAGACAACCCGAGCTCAATTGGATGAGCACGGGCAAGTTAATGCTGCCCATCTACTTGGGCAATCAGCTGAACAACTGCTTCTTTGGCGGCATTGTGATCACCAAGATTGTGCTCGTCGAGATCAACAGGCGATTGCGTGAGATTCGCAACGAGGTGAACAGATTGCAAACACCACTGGAGTTGCTGCTGCAGAAACCCTACTATCGTATGCAACGCTTTTGCTATCTGGCCGATCGTCTGGATGAGCTGGCGTCCAAGTATGCGCTCTCAACTGGTCGCTCCATGACCTATATGCTGCTAACCGCCTTCTCACTGGTCTCATCCATGGCCATTAATTTGATTATCACGACGCTGGGCTTCTACACGCAATATCAAGCCTTTGCTGATCACATTCTGCTTGAAGAGGCCTATGATATAGCCCGAGCATTGGCACATTTTGTGTTTCTAGTGGTTCCCTTCACAGAAATATGTTTGGTGGCGCGCGTCAGTCAACAAGTGCTGGACGAAGTAGTTGGCCGAGCTGTCTGTAAAATTTAAATACAAATAAATATTGACTTTCTTGCAGGCTAAGGAAACGGGTAACTTGCTGCAGCGCATCAACTTGGAGCACGCCGACGTGCGCTTCAAGCAAACTGTGGATGCATTATGGCTGGAAGTGATCACAATTAAATACAAATTAATGCCAATGGGTCTGCTTGAGCTGGACGGTTCGCTGATCAACAAAATATTCTCAACAGTTGCTGGCTTTCTATTGTTTCTCATACAAAATGATCTAACACAGCGATTTTCGTTAAAGTAATATTTGTTAATTTATCAGCCTTAAATTCAAAACTTAACTGGCGTCTATCGATAAAAGCGCACTTATCGCTTGTGGTGGCTATGCGATAGGTAACTAGGCACTTACCAACACTAAGTTCTTGGGCTACGCAACACTGTTTGCTTGTATCGAACGGCTGATTGTAAATAAAAGCGTTGAAATGCAAATGCGCCTTTTTATTATTAGTTTACAAAATAAGAGCATAAGTTAAAAGTGAACACAATGGTGCGCATTACCTGGCGCACAAACTCCACACAGAGTCTAGTGTAAGTGTTAGACCGCTTGTTCGATTATCTTTCTGAAGTAAACCTTGTTATTCTCCCGGCAGCTCCACATTTCGCCTACGCTGGAGCTATATGAACCACTGCTGGCACTCGCTCACCTTTAATGCGCACATGAATTCCAGCTATGCCACCGACGTGTGCATGACGCCCATCTTCTGGGTTGTGGACAACTATACACACTGTCTGGGACCAGTACGTAATGGCTTTTCAATTTGTTTACAAGCAGCTCATGGGCAGCGTTGCCAACTGCCTTTTTAAAAAAGCTGAATTGGCTAAACCAAGCTAAATTACTGACAGCCAAAAATAGTTGTTTCTGGCTAAATACATATGAAAATAGCCAAATTCAACTGGTAAATAGCTTAACTAAGGCAATGGGCAGCACTGCTCGCAGATTATATATTCACTCAGGTCCAATTGTTCATAAATTCTCTTGATCTGTATAGTTACTAAGTTAATTGGCTAACCCCTAGCTAAAAGTGATTTCTTGTTTGTACTTTCAGTTCTTCGTTGTGGGCGTGGCTATACTGACTACTGCCGTGGTGGGCATCGCCTATTGGATTGGCCTGCCCTTTTGGTGGGCCAAGAGCCAAGTGGCAACAATACTGCTGCTTATTGTGGGCAACTGGCTGCTGCTAAACATTATTTTCCATTATGTGATGGCTGTGATAACGCCCGCTGGACAGCCACCAGAAGGTGTTAGCCATGTGGAGGCCGTCAGCATGTGTACCAAATGCATTTCCCCAAAGCCGCCGCGCACGCACCACTGTTCCGTGTGCAATCGCTGCATATTGAAGATGGATCATCATTGCCGTGCGTATTGGGTCTGTCTCCGCTGTTTATACTGTTTACAGTAAAGTTTACTTTTAGCCTGGCTTAATAACTGCGTGGGTTATGCGAATCATCGCTACTTCTTTCTATATATGCTGTACACCACGCTGGGCTGCCTGTTTCTTATTGTGTGTGGTCTGGAGATTGGCTACAAATATCTCTGGCTGGATCACAGCGAGCACTGGACGGAATTGGAACCGCTCGAGGGTCATCCAGTCAAATTTAATCTAAGCGGACATGCCATACTTGTTGTACGTTTATTCAATTGAAATATTATTTCAACTCCTTTTATATATATACATATTTATGTGGTTTGCAGACGCATCCGCATGAGTACGATGACATCCTGTTGCCAGCAGCTGTACATCATTTGCCCACGCCCATCGCGGACACGCTGGCCGACTCCACGCCCACACGGCGTCGCATTTTGTGGTTTATGGCCGTGACCAATGTAGCTGTGGTGATTGCCCTGGGCACCCTTTGCACCTGGCATGCCAAGCTGATCACGCGCGGCGAAACCAGCGTGGAGGCGCATATTAATGAGGCTGAACGCAAAAGATTCTTACAACTCAAACGCATTTACATTAATCCCTATAATTTTGGCACCAAAAAGAATTGGAAACTATTTCTGGGCCTTGTGCGTGGCAGGTAATTCCTGTCGTTAAATACATTCGTCACTTCTTCTTCACTTACTCAATGCGATTTCTTTTCAGATCGTTTTGGCGCACCGTGTTGCTGCCTTCGTGGCACAGACCCGAGGGCAACGGTCTTAGTTTTCATACTGTGCACGATGCAATCTTCGAGGATGAGTGGCCATAGTCCGTGCAGCTTTTGTGATGTCATCTTGGCGAATTAGTTAAATTATTAGGCTTAAGTCAAGCATTTCCATTAGGGTGGCATGCCAAGAATATTTATTTAGTCATCTATTAGTATAAGACTTGATTAGCGTTTCCATAGAGCTTGTGAGCTAGCTATGTGTATCTTCTATCCAAATAAACAGAACTGCCGTAATTTACAACCTTAAAACCTGTTGATTGAATACGTTGCTAGGATATGCCTCGCGATATGCGCCGGTATGGCAACTTGTTGCCAGGACGCCAATTTATATACTTTTGGGTTTAGTCGATACGAAGAATTAGCTGAGTTGAAGAGAATCAAATTTTATTTAGCCAAAAATGTCCAAGGCTTCGGGTTCGGAAGACGAACCGTTGGTGCCAGACGACTTTGATGATGACTTCTTCAGGGAGCTCAGCGAGAAGATACCCGAGGTGAGCAGCAGCTTAACGAGAATCTGGACGTTCTAACAATTGCGTTAAACATTTGCAGGCAACTAAGGCGTTACGGCAAAAGGATACGCCCAACAATGCGGACAATGTGCAGCGTCTGCTCATCTGTGGCACACGCTACAAGAATGATCTGCGCATGGAGGAGGGTCGCTCGCAGGAGCTGCGCGAGCAAATAGCTGCGCTCGAGGAGCGTCTTGAAAATGCGGCGAACATAAGTAAATTGGATATGGCCACCATTGAGCAGCTGCGTGGTGTTATAGGTGAGTGTTTAGTGAGAAAGAGAGTGGAAGAGAGAGAGAGAGAGAGAAATATCTATCAAATACCATGTTACCTGCACAGAGGGCGCCTGGAAGCAGAAAGATGCCTCGCAGATACGCGAGCAGTCCGCACAGGACGAAGTGTTGAGTCTGCGCCAGAAACTGGATGCTGCCGAGCAGATGGTCATGCACCTCAACGAAAAGGGTCGCGCCAAGAGCAACAAGCGTGATGATAGCAAAGAATGTGAACGGCTCAATGATGAAATTAAGGAGCTAAACAAGCGGCTTCAGCTGCAACGCGCCTACGCGGCGGAGGTGGAGGCCACCATACAGGCGCTGGAGGGCAAAAACAAGGATATCCTCAAGCTGCTGGATGTATGTATGAGATAAAGCTGATCACCAAACTTGGCCTATAACAGATAATTGCTCGCTCAGGAAACCTCCAGCGATGCGTGCAATTTGAAGCGCAAGAGTGATGCTCTGTCCAAGGAGCTGGCTACCATGAGAAGCGAGGAGACCAAATATCTGGAGCAGATAGCACACATCAAGACGACCAATGAGCATCTGACCAAGGTCAAGGTGCGTCAGAATCTGCAAATACTCTCGCTGAAGACGAACATGGAGCATCTGAATACGTTGCACAACAGCACCTGCAATAAGCTGGCCAAGATTACGGTGGATCTGGAGTATACGGTGCAGGAGCGGGACAAGAACAAACGTGCCTTAAATCAGCGCATCAATCTGCTTAAGGTGCGCGAGGATGAGCTCATCAAGCTGCGCCAAGACAACGCCAAGCTGGCCAAATCACAGGAGACCATCGCACGCAAATATGGCGGTCTGGAGATGTCCAAGCAGGAGGTGGAGCAGGAGAATATGCGGCTCAAGTAAAACCTGCCACATCCTCTATATATAAATATGGAGTATCTGGAATACATTAATTAATTTTGCCTTTACAGAACCCAGCTGGGCACCCAAGACAAGGAGCTGGAGTCCATGCGTCGTGTGGTGCATCATTTCGAGAAGAACAATGAGAATCTGATCAAGGAACGCGATGTGCTCAAGCGGGATCTGCAGGGCGAGCATCAGAGCGCTGAGAAAAACGCCGCCCTATATCAGGAGTCCCAGCACGAGGTGCGCGCGCTTAAGGACATCATCAGCAGCATGGACTTGAAGCAGAAAAAGCTGCAAGAGGACGTGAAGAAGCAGAAAAAGGAAAATGCCAAAAAGCTGGACGAGATTCAGCAGTGGGTTGACAAAGTCGATCTGCTGCAAAGTAAGTGTGCTGCTGTATGGGAAATTTAGATTAAAATTCATGTCACGTCCGCCCACAGATGAAATTCACCTGAAGGAGAATCAAGAGATCGAGCTGAAGCGCACAGTTAGCGATCTGGAAACCAAGTGCTCCAAGTTCCAGCAGCAGCACGATCTTTTGTCCAGCGAGCGGCAGAATCTACAGCGTTCGCTGCAAGCCGCGGACGAGGAGCGGCAAAAGCTGCGGGATCAGTTAATTAATCTGCAGTCACAGATCGAGACGCTCAAGGGCAAGATTAGCTATCGGGATGGGGAGCTGAGCAAGCTGCAGCTGCAAATTGATCGCATGGAGAAGGAGCGTCGCCTGCTGCGCAACGATGTGCGGCATGCGCAGTTGGGTCAGCAGCACACCAAGGCGGAGCTGCTGGACAAGCGCAAGGAGAACGATCGTCATGCCAAATCGCTGCAGGAGGACGAACAGCGTTTGGCACGCCTGCGCAAGGATGTCGACAATCTGATGAATGAGAAGAACTCGATTAGTGCGGCGCTGACCAGGCGCAACGAGGAGTACTCCAAACTCCAGCACAATTTGGAGAATCTGCAGACCGCCCACGATCAGACGGAGCGCCAGTTACTCCAATGCCAGGACGATATGCGTCTAATGGGCGTCGAAATTAAGAACTTGCGCACGGAACGCAATGTGCTTCGCGCCGATCGAGAAAGTGCCGCCGATTTGCGTCAGGAGCTGCTGCAAATGCATCGCCTGCTGAACCAGGAACGCATCAAGGCGCGCGCCCTGCAGGACGAAATGATGACGCCCATGAATGTGCATCGCTGGCGTCTGTTGCGCGGCAAGGATCCGGAAAAAATGGATTTACTCGAACGCATACACATCCTGCGCAAACAGCTGCTCAGCCAGAATGTGGCTGCCCTGGAGCAGGAGCGGGCATTGTCCGAGGCCCAACAGCTCTATGCGGCACTCAAGGAGTTCATGCTCAAGCTGCCCAGTCACAAGGTGCAGGCGGAGCTCAATACTGTCAAGGTGAGCGTGGTTAAGGTGTGCCTATTGGGATATTTACAGTTTACTGAAGCTCAAACCCGTTTTGGTTTCTCCATGGCCACATTATTTATCTTTTCTGTATATTGTTTTCCTACCTTTTATCTTGATTATTTTAAAGAATTACCCAAATGCATCACATGTCACATGAAATATTGACCCTGGCAAAGAACAAAGCCCTCTTCGTATTAAAAATATAATCTG